TGTTTTTTTTTCTGGGTTTTATGAGCCCAGAATTTTTCCTCCTCCATCCCCCTTCCAGAACCCGCCGTGGACGTGCCTGGAGACTCACTCACTGTCCTGAGGGTTCAGCCCTCACCTCGTGGTTTTTTTTCTCTGAGTTTATCCCACTCTCCAGAAAAATGCAGGAGCTGCTGCTGAACAGGAGCGTTTCTACAGTGGTGTGAGACATTTCTGCCGTGAACTCAAATGTCTCAGGTTTTAATTAACCCACCACTGCTCAGCTGTATTTACTTTCCTAAAAACGCTGCGAGTTCAGCACTTCAGGTTGCTCTTTAGGGGACTCCAAGGTGCAAAGGTCTGGAGCTGCAGCTCACGTGGCTCATCCCCAGGCCTGATGGGGATGTCTGGAGACAGTTTTGCCACGAGACAGAGCCCGTGCAGGGGCTCTGGACCTCAGAGATAAACACAGGCAGTGCCCCAGATCCTGTTCCATCTGTGCCCGTGCCCGGGGCTGAGCAGCAGCTCGGCTCCCTCCTGCCAGCCAGGCTGTGCCAGAGCTCTGCTCCCTGTCCCAGCAGCCCTGAAGGACTTCAGGGCATGGAGGGGGGACAGGACATCACAGTTCTGCCCTAGCCCCGTGTCAGGGGCTGCTGGAAGTGCTGAAGGAGGGTGTGTGAAGGCTGGGATTGCTGATGCCAGCTCACTGTGCCCCGTGTCACATCCCTGGGGGTGGAAGGAGGCAGGGACACGGGCAGGGTGTCACATCCCTGGGGGTGGAAGGAGGCAGGGACACCGGCAGGGTGTCACATCCCCGAGGGTGGAAGGAGGCTGGGACACGGGCAGGGTGTCACATCCCTGGGGGTGGAAGGAGGCAGGGACACGGGCAGGGAGCTGTTCCCAGCATCCAGAGGCACGGCAGCTCCGTGGCAGCCGTGGGGATGGATCCCTGTGCTGGGAGAGCAGGGGTGCCCCAGATCTGCCACCTTCACCTGCAGCTTCTGCAGCGTCTCCTCCCGCTCCCCCTCTGCTTCCCAGCGGCCACACTTCTGGCTCTTCAGCATCTGGATCTCCTGGAACATGAGGAGGGAGAGAAACACGTCGGATCCACCCCTCTGCCAGCGGGAGCAGCTCCCACCACACCCTTCAGCCCTCTCTCCAAGGATCCCACAATCCCAGGCAGCTCCAAATTCCCATCCCCTGCTGCCTCCCTCGGAGCCCTCGGTCCCTAAATCTGAGTGCCAGCAGAGCTCAGTGCTCTCTGCATCCCTGCTCCCACATCCCAGGGCACATCCCAGGCTCCTGGGGACAGGGATGAGCTGTTGGGTGGAAAATCCCTTGCACACCTTTGCCCCAGCATTTTTCCTCCAGCCTGAGCAGGCCCGGGAAGGAGGGACAAATGTGTTCTGAGTGAGGATCAGGGAGCCCAAACCACCTTCCCTCCTCAATCCCAGGGCTCCATCCCCCCCTTTGCTGAAGCAAGGCCAGCAGGCAGCCCACGGAGTGTGAATCACAGGGATCCTCCTCACACCTCCCCTCCTCCTCCTCAGCCTCTGGAGTTCAAACCCGGCTTTAAATCACTCATTCATTTAAATGCAGCGAGAGCTGGAGACAATTACTACACCAGAGGCTAATTGTCACTGCAGAGGGCAGAGAGGGGAAGGGGTGAGAGAGCTCTGAGCCTCCCACTCCGGGCTGTGGACACGCTGGGAAGCTCCCAGCGCTTCCCTCTCCCTCAGCTTTGCCTCCCCGGAGAGGGAACCAGCCCGGGGGGGCTCTGACCCCAAACCAGCAGTGACTGACAGACCCCCCCAGCCCCGGGCTTGGGGTGCCACAGCCTCACCTCATCCTTAGCCTTGATGAGCAGCTCCAGCTCCTCCAGGGTTTGGCTCAGCTCCTCCTTGTTGTTGTCGCTGGAGGAGTCGTGAGTCCCCTGCGACTCCAGCTCCGCCACCTGCCAGGCAGGGAAGGCTCCCTCAGGAATGTTGGGGCTCCCTCAGGAATGTTGGGGCTCCCCCAGAGCCCTCAGCCAGGGTTTGGCTTCCCTGCCAGCCCACCCCGGGGTGACAGCAGGGCAGCAGCTCCCGCCTGGGGCTGTTGGGAAAACCTTCCCCCTGCCCTGCCTGGATCGGGCTTCGTGGCAGAAAAGTTCAGGGGCTCTGTCTCTGCTTTGCCCTGCTGTGCTTCCAGTAAAACACACGAGGGGATGGCTCCATTTTACACCCCTGGGCACAGATTTCCAAGGGCAAGGGAGTCCCTGCAGCTCAGCCCCAGCAGGGCCAGGGGGGCTTGCCCAGGGATTTTCCCCAGCCCCGAAAAATTCAGCTGGGTGGCTCGGATTGTTCAGGAGGAGGATTCATCTTTTAAAGCTCGTCAGGAAGGGCTGCAGCAGCTCTTGCTGGGGCTCTGCAAACATCCCCTCCAGTGATGGGGACCCTCACACAGGCAGGGCTCAGATCCTGGTGTTCCCAGGAGCAGGGGCAGCAGGATTGGGTCAGTGCTGAGCTCTGGTCCCAAAATGCTCCGATTTAGGGACAATGATTGAGGTGTCTCACTGAGAGGCTGCTGCCCCTCACCCAAAGCTCCCCAAACCCTCCCTCCTGGTTCCCAGCTGTGGGAACAGCCACAGAACAGCGTGCACAGAGCAGGGAAGAGCCACAAACCCCCCCCCCAGACACCCACACGAGGCCTCTGCTACACCCAGGGCAGGCTCCTGCTGCGGGGGAGACAAATCTGTTCCCTGCAGCTCTTTTCCTGCCCAGCTCCAGCCCTGGGGATGAGCTCCAGATCCTGGGGGATGGCTGTTGGCTGCACAGGCTTGGCCACACCACGGCCATCACCAGCAAACAGCTGCTAATTGCTGTAAATCCCTGCTGCCTTTCAAAGGAGCCATCTCCAAGAGAAACGGCTCCACTCCTCCTCCGGGGCTCCAGAGCCCTTTCCCAGCTGTCCTAAGAGCCTTTCCCAAGTGCTCTGTGGTTCCTCCCTCCCAGCAAACCCCCCCCCTGCCGTGTGACTGTCACCCCTCTGCCTCCTCAGCTGGCCCGTGACCCCTCTGACATCCTGGAGGTCAAAGGATCCCGTTATTCCAAGGGAACAAGGCTCTGTTTGTGCTGCACCACCCGGGTTTCATGATGTTGCAGCTCGGATTGGAGCTAATTATAGCAGCCAGAGCAACCCTCAGCCTTCCTGTCAGCAGCCAGAGCTTGCCCTGATGCCTGGCTTGGTGGGAAGGGGGGGGCCACAGCCCTTGGTCTGGCTGGGAGCTGGGAGCTACTTCCAGAAAACACCAAGGGAGGCTGAAATTCTGTGACTTCGTGCTCTGGTTTCCACCCTTCACCCCCGGGGGCTCAGCACACCCCCTGTGCAGAGTAGGGGAGCTCGTGGAGAGCTCCCCACTTCCACAGCCTTATTCCTTGGTGTGTTTTCCTTGCCAGGCTGGTGCAGCATCCTGGATTTCCATCCTGCCCTGATGCCTGGCTGGGTGTGGGAGGGGGGCACAGTCCTTGGTCTGGCTGGGAGCTGGGAACTCCCTCCAGAAAACACCAAGGGAGGCTGAAATTCTGTGACTTTGTGCTCTGGTTTCCTCCCTTCACTCCCAGGGACTCTGTGCAGAGTCCCTGTGCAGAGCAGGGGAGCTCATCCAGAGCTCATCCAGAGCTCATCCAGAGCTCCCCAGCCTTATTCCTCGACATGTTTCCCCTGCCAGGCTCTTGCAGCATCCTGGATTTCCATCCCATGTCCAGGGCAGACGGGAGAGCAGGGCCAGGGGCCCTGGGATGGGATGGGGTGGGATGGGATGGGGTGGGATGGGATGGGATGGGATGGGGTGGGATGGGATGGGATGGGATGGGATGGGATGGGATGGGATGAGATGGAATGGGATGGGATGGGATGGGATGGGATGGGATTGGATGGGGTGGGATGGGATGGGATGGGATGGGATGGGAATGGGATGGATGGGAATGGGATGGGATGGGATGGGGTGGGAGGATGGCATTGGGTGGATGGGTGGGATGGGGTGGTATGGTTTGGGGTTGGGGTGGGAGTGGGGTGGGATGGGCGGGGTTGATGGTGGGAGGGGTGGTTTGGATTGGAATGGGCTGGGATGGGGTGGGAGGGGGTGGGATGGGATGGGGTGGGATGGGATGGAGCTCCCTGGGCTCACACGCTGCCGCAGCGTCTACGTCTCCTAATGGTACACCGTGAGCTGCTTCTTCCACTGGTCCACGTTGGCATTGGCCTCGTGCAGAGCAGCCACCAGCTTGTTGTTGTTGTCCTGGAGGCTGAAGAACTCGGCCTCCCACTGCACCTCACTCACGGAGCTGCGGGAGAGAGCAGGGGGTGAGCCCAGGGCAGCAGGGGAGGCTCCTTCACACACACACACACCCCTGTGCCCAAACGATGCTCCTGGAAGTGCTCGGAGGCTCCACAGGTTCCCACTCAGCCCTCACACCACTTCCCGAATTTAAGCTCTCCTTCCAGCCCTGAACCTGCCCCTCTTCCCTTTGTCCCTGGGTAATATTTGACTTTGAAACTGCAGAGACCACACTGCGAGATTAACGGGGCGGGGGAGATGCAGGAGCCACAAAAGGGGCTTTGCAGTGTGAGATTGTGAATCCACTTTAAAAATCCTTATTGGATCTGAGTTTGCTTTGAATAAAGCCCTACCAGCCCAGACTCGGGGAGAAGGCAGCAAAGGAGGCTTGCTTTTGATTTAAAAATACTCTTAAGTGTTCAGCTGGGAGCTTGACAGGAGCCACGGGGCAGAATCCAGCCCAAAGCCTTTTGAACAGACAACGAGAGGAAGCAGCAGGGACTTTGCTGGAATCATCAGGGGAATTAACACAAATGTAGCCCTGGGCCAGCTGGAGAAGTGTGAACATCCTTCTGGTATCACAAACTACTGATCTGTAGATAACTGGCACCAAGTCACGGAGCCTCCTCCTTCCCAGGCTGCCTGAGCAGCACATTATTCCAAGCTGGAATAACTTCCTGCCAGGAAAGGGCATCGGATCAGGGCACTGCTCAGCAGGAGTGTGGGGTCACAAGCGCTCGGGGTGCCAGAGAAATGCACCAAATCCTGCCGGAATGGGCAGCTCAGGGGGCAGGAGCAGGGAGCTCCTGGGGCAGCCTCACCCTTCCGAGAGCATCTTCTTCAGCCGCTCCTTCTCCGTCGTGATCTCCACGTCAGCGCTTTGGCTCCGGAACAGTTTGTCCTCCCCTGGCCCGTTGGAGCTGATGATGGGGCTGGGAAGCACCTGGGGGATGAAGAAGGGGGTGGTTATGGCCACGTGGCCACACAAGGGCTCTGCAAACTTGTTCCCAGCCCTGAGTCTTCTCTTATTCTTATAAGAGCTTTCCACAGGGCGAGTTCTCAGTCCCTGCCCTGCTGGGACAAACCTGGCTCTGTCCTAACTCAGGGAGAGCTGTGTTTGTCTGCACAAGGTGGGGGGGCAAAGCCCCTCAGGTGTGGCCCAGCAGCCCCAGCCGTGGAGCAGGAATGATTTTGGAAGCTCTGTGGGCACAGGGCTCTCTCTTGGTTGGTGCTGTGCCCTTCCAGCAGCTGCCACACCCTCCCCATCCCTGTTCTCCACACCCTGCTGGGGCAGTGATCCCAGTGCAGGGGGGGTCAGAGCTTGCACACACCAGATCCCAGTGCAGGTGGACTCCCAGCTATTCCTCCCTCCTGCCCTGATGTCTGGAATTCTCTGGCCCTCAGCTGAGAAATGCCAGCAGTGCCACAGCCCCTCACCCGAGTCCCACAGCCCTGCCCAGCTCTCAGCTGCTCAAACTGCCCTTTCCAGGGCTTTGCTGAATTCTTAAGAGGCTTTTCTTGCTGTTCCTCAGAGCAGGGGGAAGGCTTAAACTCCCAACACAGACCTGCCAGTTCAGCCCCCAAGCCCTGACTGGGTTCAGTGCCAAGCCCAGCTCCCGCTCCTGGAATTCAGGCCCCACTGGGATGGTGGATCTCAGGGAGAGAAACTCAGCTCAGGTGACTCTGGCACCCGTTTTCCAAAGGTGTGGGAGAAGGAACAGCCTCTGCACCAAAGTCTATCCTTCCCTGTGCTCCATATTCCTGCACACACCAGGAACTGAGGCACGGAAGGGGCAGAGGTTTCTTATCCTGGTGTTTTGTGCCAACCAAAACTGGTGAGAGCTGGAGATGCCCCCCCACTGTGGTGTCTCTTACATTACCCACAGCAATGTACCCCGTGATGGGGGTGCTAAATGGGATGGGGATCAGCCTAAAAGGTACCAAAGGGCAGAAGAAAAGCTGCTATTCTGGGAATTCCCCAGCCCTGGAAAAAAAAAAAAACGTGAAGCAGAAGGGAAGTGGTGCAGGCGTGGAAAATGAGGGAGGCCTGATTTAATTCCAGGAGACAGATCCGCTCCCTGCTCACTTGCAAACAGAAACACCATCAATTATTCAAGGGTGAAGCTCATGTTTGAGGCTCTGCTAATGCAGAGGGTGGGAATGAGCAGCGGGGCAGCGGGAGGAGGGGTGGGGAAGGCTGGGAATGCAGGGCAGGGGACACTGTCACCCTGTCACCCTGTCACCCTGTGCCCCTGTCACCCCCCTGGCTGGGGGATGGCTGAGGGGAGCAGGAACAGGGGCTGTGGGGTCACACTGGGGCGGTTTTAGCCCTGCTGAGTCAGGGCAGAGGAAGGAACAGAGCCCTGGGCCAGTTCCCTGCTCCCAGTCTGCCCTTCCCTCTCTGAGCTCCCCCAGCCCTGCTGCCAGCAGAGCCCAGGGAACGTGTCCTGCTGTGGCACCTGAGGAGTTCTGCCTGCAGGGAGCAGGACAAGAGGGAATATCTCGGGAATATCTCTGGGAGGTGGAGGCTGCAGCTGCCCAGGAACCTCTGTCTCAGGTGAAAGACCCCAAAACTTTGGTTCTGCTGTGAATATTCTTCTCCCTTCTTCCCTTGCCACCCCGCAGGACGGGGCTTGGAGTGAGCAGGAACCAAATTTGGGCAGATTTTCCCCATCTTTGCTCCCCACAGAACATTTCCAGTGTGTGCAGAGCCACTGCCTCCACCTCCCCCTGCTTTCCCTGCAGGCCAAGGTATTGTTCACACTCCTCCTCCTCTGCTGCTGCCACTCCATCTGTGCCCAGCCCAGGGAACATCCCGTCCTCCCTCCATCCCACTGCTCCCCTCCTGCTGCCAGGAGCTCCGGGGAGTGCAGAGCCACCTCTGGAGTGACCTCCTTGGGAGGGGCACCTTCCCCACACCCATTGAGCTGCTTCTCCCTGGGGAAAAGCAGCACAGTTTATTTTTTTATTTTAATTTTTTAAAATTTTATTTTAATTTTATTTCATTTTATTTTCATTATTTTATTTTATTTTATATTTTTATTTTACTTTCATTTTATTTTCTTTGTTTTATTTTATTTTATATTTTATTTTTATTTAATTTTATTTTCTTTATTTTATTTTATTTTATTTTTATTTTATTTTCTTTATTTTATTTTACTTTATTTTATTTTTATTTCATTTTATTTTCTTTATTTTATTTTATTTTTTATTTTATTTTTATTTCATTTTAATTTCATTATTTTATTTTCATTTTATTTTATTTTTTTATTTTATTTTTATTTCATTTGATTTTCTTTATTTTATTCTATTTTATTTTTTTTATTTTTATTTTATTTTTATTTTATTTTATTTTTTTATTTTATTTTTATTTCATTTGATTTTCTTTATTTTATTTTTATTTTTTATTTTATTTATTTATTTTTAGAATGGTTTAACTGGCCAAGAGGGAGGAGGTTGAACATTCCCAGCAGCTCCATTAAAACCCTCATTAATTAATCGACTCAGGGGCCACCAAAAGCACTGCCCAGCCCGGGGGTGGCACCAGAGATTTTGGGGAGAAGGGGATGAGAGCAGGAGGTCAGCACAGGGAGTGTTTCCTCCCCTCCTGCCCTTTTCCCAGCGTTACCTGGTGAGATGTGATGCTCAGGGCAGGGTTGGTCAGCTCTGTCTTATCCTGGGACTTCTCCCTGGCCAGACGAGCTGCTTCCTTCACCTCCTGGAACTTCTCTGCAAACTGGAGGAGGGGAAGGGAAGAGTCAAAACGGGGACCAAACTCCAGCCGGTGCCTGGGTTACTCCAGTCAACCTGCTCCTCAGTGTAACAGCTAAATCCAGGGAACAGCCCCTTCCTGCCCGGGATTCTGGCACTCAGGGCTGTGGGTTCAGCCAAACAGGGCCCTGAAGATTTAATCAGTGGTGCTCAAACTGCAAATATCACTTGAAAGCTCTTTCTTGCATCTTTGCATCCACAGGTTTTAGCGCAGCAGGGAAGGGTTTAACTGAGGTTCCCAAAGCCTGTTTTTTTTTTTTTTCCAGAGGCTGAAGGGTTCCAGAGCCTTCCAGGGGTTCCAGAGCCTTCCAGGGGTTCCAGAGCCTTCCAGGGGTTCCAGAGCCCCTGCAGGGTTACCTGGGAGAGGTGCTGCTCCTACCTGGGAGAGGTGCTGCTCCGAGGCAAAGCCCAGCCCGTACACGGTGTTGGCTCGGCTGTCGGCCCATTGCCCGAATTTCTGGGATGTCTTGGTGAAGGTCATGTTGGGGGTGATGGTGCTGTTGATGATTGCCTGGGGGGAGAGAGGCAGTGGCAAGTCAGGGGACGCTCCAGGTGGGTGGCGTGGGGTTGGATGGCGGAATCCCGGGATCACGGAGTGCTTTGGGTCGGAAGGGACCTTGAAGATCATCCCATTCCAACCCCTCTCCATGGCACTCACTGAGATCACCACGATCCCCGTGAACTCTGGGAACTAGGGGTAGAAATCTCTGCCTTTTCATCTGCAAAACAGCAGTTCAGGTTCAGGCTTTTGGTGACCAAAAGTCTTTCTAAGCCCGGCGACGTGACACGAAGGAATCTTAATCATCTTTTCCACCGAGAAAAGGGATGATAAAAAAAAAAAAAAGAAAAAGAAGCCTCAGTATCAGCAGCTTCCTCCACTGCTGGAAAAGATGATAAGAGACAGCACGTCTCTGGGGCCTCAACAGCTTTCTGCTGTTCTCCAGTTTCATGGCAAGTAAGGGGGGATGGAAGAAAAAAAGGCTTAACCACCACTCAGGACTGGGTATTACGAAACTCCCTCTCAGGACTGGGTGTTATGAAACCCTCTCTGCTGGGCAGGGGAGCAGCAAAAAAGCCTGGGAAGACTCTGTGCCATCCCAGGGCTTCGAGAAGGAGGCAGGAGGGTGCCCACCAGGAACAGTTTAGGGAGAGTAACTCGTGTCCTGTGCAGGTGACTGAACCTCCGAGGCTTCTTCGACCTCTCTCTGTACGTGCAGGGGTCGGGTTCAGCACAGGATAAAGGCTCTTGGAAAACACTTGGGGTTGGAATGGGGGGGTGTGTGTGACAACACCAGACCCCAGGGTGTGTGACAACACCAGACCCCAGGGTGTGTGACAACACCAGACCCCAGGGCACGTTTTCCACCAGCACAGATTCCGGTTCCGCCTCCAAACGAGGAGGAAACGAGGCTTCACCTGACGATGGGAAGGTGCCAAAGCGCCCAACCCCAACCCCACCCCAACCCCAGGGGCAGCAGGAGAGGTTCTGGGTGGGGGAGAGCCCTCCGTGGGGCTGCTGTGCCCCCACCTTGGTGCCCCCCACGCTGATGATCCGGTAGACGTTGCGCGTGGCATCGTAGAAGTAGGAGACGGTCAGGGCGTGTTTGCTGGCCGGGATCCAGTTCCGTTTGGTGGCCGGGTCGATCTGGAAAACGTGGGCCCTGGTGCTGAAGATTGGCTGCTCCCTGCAAGACAGGAGGGCAGGGCTGGCTCAGGGCAGGGGGAAGCTCAGAGAGGGGGGAAGTGCAGCCCTTTCCTGCTCTTCCCCTTCCTCGTGTTCCTGGGCACAGCTCCTGCTCTTCCTCGTGTTCCTGGGCACAACTCCTGATGTTCCCCTTCCCTGTGTCCTGGGCACAGCTCCTGCTGTTCCCCTTCCCTGTGTTCCTGGGCACAACTCCTGCTCTTCCCTGTGTCCTGGGCACAACTCCTGCTCTTCCCTGTGTTCCTGGGCACAACTCCTGATGTTCCCCTTCCCCATGTCCTGGACACAGATCCTGCTCTTCCCCTTCCCTGTATTCCTGGGCACAGCTCCTACTCTTCCCTGTGTCCTGGGCACAACTCCTGCCCTTCCCCTTCCCTGTGTTCCTGAGCACAGCTCCTGCCCTTCCCCTTCCCTGTGTTCCTGAGCACAGCTCCTGCCCTTCCCCTTCCCTGTCTTCCCAGGCACAGCTCCTGCTCTTCCCTGTATTCCTGGGCACAGCTCCTGCTCATCCCTGTGTCCTGAGCACAGCTCCTGCTCTTCCCCTTTCCCATGTCCTGGGCACAGCTCCTGCTCTTCCTCCTGTTCCTGGGCACAACTCCTGCTGTTCCCCCTCCCTGTGTCCTGGGCACAGCTCCTGCTGTTCCCCCTCCCTGTGTTCCTGGGCACAGCTCCTGCCCTTCCCCTTCCCCGTGTCCCTGGGGTGCCAAGGACAGAGTATCTCCCCCCAGCCCACCCCTGCCCCTCTGGGAAGGGACCAGCAGCTCCCCACTGCCCACACTGGTGCCACCGAGTGACCCCTCTTACTCCAGCAGCCGTGACCCAAGCTCTGAGTTGTTTTCCCAAGACCTCTGGGTTTCTCTGTGCTCTCCACATCCCTGGCACTCCTCTGAGGCCCAGTTTTAGAAGCTGGGGGATGGTTCTGCACAGGAAGAGCCTGTGCCTGTCTCTGCCTCCTCCTCCTCCCCCCCATCCAGGCAGTGTGAGGGCACACCACTGACCTTGGGCTGGGAGAACACCCTTGGCACAGTAACAGAGCTCCCCCAGGTACAGATTTGTACCTTCCTCTGGAGCTTCTCCTGCCCTGCAGACCCGAGACCCTCCCAGAGGCCACAGCCTGGGTGTTCCAGCAATCCCCTGCCCTGGGGTCGGTGGGTTTTATATCCCCCTTCACCCGGGGACGGGCACGGGAGAATTGGGAGTTAAAAGCACAAATAGCCCCCCCCTCAATCTCATCTTTAGGGCACAGCTGGTGGTCCTTCCCAGCACAGCCCCTGGGGCAGGGGTGTGATTAGGGGTTGTAACATTTTCAGCCCTGACCTGAAGCTTTCTTTCACCACCACTCATCACCTCGGTGCTCCCCCAGGAACAGGATCCCTCTGGCTGCAGGATCTCTCCAGGCTGGAGCTCCAGGGTGGATGGATGGGTGGGTGGATGGATGGGTGGATGGAGGATGTGTTTGGGATGTGAGCACAAAGAAAACCCTTCCCCTCAGCACAGCTCTTCCTCCCTTGACTCACGCTTGGGAAGCACATCCTGCAGCCAGGGGGTCACATCCCGGGATTAAAGCAAGTCCCTGCAGGAACCAAAGGAAACACCTCACCCTCCCCAACGTGCAGCTGCTGCAGGGAAAGCCCTGAACCAAACCTGAACCAAACCTGAACCAAACCCTGAACCAAACCCTGAATCAAATCCTGAACCAAATCTGAACCAAACCTGAACCAAACCTGAACCAAACCCTGAACCAAATCCTGAACCAAACCTGAACCAAATCCTGAACCAAACCTGAACCAAACCTGAATCAAATCCTGAACCAAACCTGAACCAAATCCTGAACCAAACCTGAACCAAACCTGAATCAAATCCTGAACCAAACCCTGAACCAAAACCTGAACCAAACCTGAATCAAATCCTGAACCAAACCTGAACCAAACCTGAATCAAATCCTGAACCAAACCCTGAACCAAACCCTGAACCAAACCCTGAACCAAACCCTGAACCAAACCCTGCCTGGGTTGTGGAGCCACAAACCCCTGAGCAGAGCAAAGGAGCTCAACCTCATGAGGACAAGAAGGTCTCACCCAGCCCCTTCTCCACATCCTCCCTGCCTGGTTTTACCCAATCTGCTTTCAGAAGAAATTCAGATTTTCCAGGCTCCACTAACAGATGCTAAATTTTCCTCATCCTTTCACACACACAGGACCCACAGAGCAGGGAAAAACCTAATGTTTGTGTGCCTTAACTCCCAAATCCTGGGCTAGTGAGGGAAAGAACAGAGGGAGGGAAGAACAACAGTTACCTAGTTGTTGACATTTGTTAGTAGGGGTAAGGGACTACAGGCCCGTGGAGTTAGTTTGTGTCTCTCCTCCAACAGCTCCTCCTCAGGTGTCTCCTAGAGGGTCTGAGGCTCCTTTTTGGTGTTGCCTCCACAGGGATTCATTTCCTAGCGAGGGAAAAGTTCAGTTGTTATTGATGTCCCGGCACAGACACGGAGTTCAACCTTCCAGGGGGTTTGTCCATCCCAGACTCACAGGGCTTGGGACCTGGGATGGTTCCTCAGCACTGAACAAGGTCCCAAATTCACAGGGCTTGGGATCTGGAATGGTTCCTCAGCACTGAACAAGGTCCCAAATTCACAGGGCTTGGGATCTGGGATGGTTCCTCAGCACTGAACAAGTGGGGTTTTATCCCTGCCATGGGAGACGGTCGGGTGAGCTGTGCCACTGGAGTAAATCCCTTTGGCAGCAGGTGCCAGCTGTTGGGAGAAGGCCATGGAGGAGCCTGGAAGGCTCCAGTGATTCCAGTCATGCACACGTGGTGCTGCTGCAGGATGGAAACCCCCTCAGAGATCAGCCCTTGTGCAGGGCAGCTATTCCTGTGCTCAGTGTCCATCCAGGAGGGCTGTACCTGGATCCCATTCCTGCTCCCTGCCCATCCACAGGGGCTGTACCTGGATCCCATTCCTGTGCTCACTCTCCATCCCTAAGGGTTGTACCTGGATCCCATTCTTGTGCTGACTCTCCATCCCTAAGGGTTGGACCTGGATCCCATTCCTGTGCTCCCTGTCCATCCATAGGGGCTGTTCACAGATCCCATTCCTGTGCTCCCTGCTCATCTGGCTGCACCCAGAGCCACAGAATCCAGGAATCCCCTGGCAGGGGGTTGGAATGAGATGATTTTTAAGGCCCTCCCAACCCAAACCGTTCTGTGATTCTGTGAAAGTCTTTCTTTGGTTGGTTTGTTCTGTTGGTTTTTTTGGGGATTTTTTTTTGTTGTAGTTTAATCCATCAAAGGATACAAATTGTATCCAGCTCGTACAAGAATTCCTTTGTGCGGGATCCTGTTCTGCAAACCTGCCCTTCAATCCTGACGAGGTTGAGGCAAAGGCTCCGGAACAAAAGCTCCCTCAGAGGGGGAGTGGTGGAGCAGAGCAAACCCCGGGCAGGGAGAGCAGCAGCAACGAAAAACCGGGAGAGAAGAAAAGCCAGGGAAGCTGAAAAAACCCCAGGGAAGCTGAAAACCCCAGGAAAGCTGAAAAACCCCAGGGCACGACTCGGAGAAGTCAGAGCTGGTTCAGGAAATGTGATGACTTTGGAATCCCAGAATGGTTTGGGTGGGAAGGGACCTTGAAGCTCATCCCATCCCACCCCCTGCCAGGGGCAGGGACACCTCCCTCTATCCCAGGGTGCTCCAACCTGGCCTGGGACACTCCCAGGGATGGGGCAGCCACAGCTTCCCTGGGAAATCCATCCCAGCCCCTCCCAGGTGGGAATTCCTTCCCAATATCCCATTTAACCCTGAGAGGCTCAGGCAGGGAAGGACAGAGGGACACGGAGGGATGCCCGGCACGGGGACACCACGGGAGGTGACAGCCAGACCCGTCAGCACGAGGGGCACCCACCTGCATCCTGCCCGCCCTCCAAAACGCTACAAAGCGTTTAAAAATAGCCCTGGAAGTGCCCGGGATTGGAGCTGTCATGTTCCCTCTCCCGTTACAACCCTCTTCCCCCTCCCTCCCACGTTTTAAGAGCAGCGCTGGAATCTCCCGAAACGCTGACTCCTCTTTTCCTGCTCCCAGCTGGGAGTCCCCACAACAATACGGCCCCAGCGGCGAAGAAAAGGGCCACGTGTAAATAAAACCACTCACATCCCCAACCCCCACACCCCCCCCAAGGGCTGTCCTTCGCAGATAATTAAGGAAAAAACCAAAAGCAAACGACTGGAAGGACAAAGATCTGGCCGAGGCACAGACAGCGCTCTCAGCAAGTGCCTGATGGCAGCTGGAAGGGATCCAGGTCTCATCCCTGCCAGCACAAGGGGGGGGAGGGAAGGGCAAAATTCAATATCCCACGGCCCCCCTGAGAGCTTAAAAATGACCGGGTGGATATCCCTTAACACTCCAGCGGCGGCGAAGCCGAGCAGTTGAAAAGGAAAAGAGGGGATGATTTAACTAATTCCCCCATTCCCACACACCGGCAAAGCACCTGGCTCCGGGATGCTGCCTGAGCAAAAAACCCTCCTCTTGGGGCCTCTCCTTGCAGGGAAGCTGGAGGAAGGTCACAGAGGGGTTTTGGGGAGGACACACAGGTACAGGGGATGGATCAGTCGCTTCCCATTTGGTGTCTGACTCAGTGGTCGTTTAGGAGAGGATGTAAAACTGCACACCGGTCTCATTTCCACCTCTATTCTTATATTATTTCCCCTCTCAGCAGCCTCCGAATTGATTTCTTCATGAATAGCTGCTTATTTCACCAGTGCCAGGAGAGCAAATCGTTATTTGTCCTCTTAATTTACGGTCTCAGCAGAGCAGAGACGGGCAGGGCAGAGGCAGAGATGGGCAGGGCAGAGGCACCGGGGCTGGGGGAGGGACCTGGCCAGGCTGGGACACGGCCAGGACCCCGGAGAAAGCCCCCCCTGTGCCAAGGAGGGACAGATGGCACCGATTCAGTCCCTGCCCCGGCACCACGTTTTGCCCAGAGGGGAACAGGGAGCAATGGAGGTGCCAGAGCCTGGCGAGGCCCGAGCCCAGCACCACTGCAGCGTGAGCAGGGATGTCACTGGGTGCCCCCGCTGTCCTTGGGTGCCCTCCTGCTCCCTGCACCGTTATCTTCCAGAATAACCTGGTGCCACTGCAGAGGCCGAGTCGTGGCAAGGGCTGGGCCACCTCCCTCCCAGGGGAAGGGGGGGACGCTGCCCCTCTGCCCTGCTCAGGTGACCCCCCACCTGGGGGACAGGTGACCCCCCACCTGGGTGACTCCATCCAGCACAGCAAGGACACGGAGCTGTTGGGACGAGCCCCGAGGCGATCAGGGGGATGGAGCAGCTCTCCCGGGAGGAAAGCCGGGAGAATGGAATGCCTTTGCTCAACAGCTCCTGCTCCGGGTGTGGGGAGGGGTCTCCTCCTGACTGCACTTGGACTCAGGCTTTGTCCCTGTTCTCTGCTTTTCTGCGCAGCCTGGAGGGTTTTCCCCCCCGGAGATCCACGTTATTTATTTGTTTGTCCTCAGTAATTCTCTCCTCTGCCTGTGACCTGCCCACCGAGGTCACTGAATTACCCCACACATCCTGCTCACCTGCCCCCACCCTCTGCTGCAGGACCAGGGAGGAGAAACCTGGTGTTTTGCCGTGCAGGGGGAAGCTTTTAGAGCCATCACTCCCCGTGTTTTGCTGTGCAGGGGGAAGCTTTTAGAGCCATCACTCCCTGAATTTATATCAAAATTTCTGCCCTATTTTCGGTTCCCGAGCGACGACGGAGCAGGACTCAAACCCAGGCACGAGTTTTGAGGGAGATTGGGTAGGTGAGGCCGAGTTCAAAGCACTCCAAGTGGCACAAACAGTGAATAGAAACCGGGAGAAGAGTCTTTCACTACTCGAGGCAGCAGCTGGAACGTGCTGGGGAGGCTGAACTTGGTCCTCATTAACTGCGCCCGCCTTGGTGCTCCTGGATGGGGTTCAGTCAAGGGCACCTCTGGGAAGTCCACGTGCTGTTCCCCAGCCTGCACCTCCTCTCACTCTCTGCAGCTTCTCTTTGCAGGGACATTCATTTCCCTGTCAGGGGAAGGAGCCTCTCTGCTCTTGGACGCAGAGGAAAATCACCTCAAACCCTCTGGCAGCCTGCGGTGCCCCCCCCACCTGAAAACCCCCAAAAATGCCTTGCAGTCCATCCCAAAGAACCACAGCAGCAGAACCCCTTGTTTTGGGGGGGATCAGAGCAGTTCTCAGCCCTGGGGACAGAGTTTTGGGGGTGCAGAGTGCAGGCACCTGGGAACCTTCTGTGCTGGGGTTGGGCTGAACCTGCAGCCAGGAGGGGCAAAACCCAAAAATGAGGCTGTCTTCTGATGAGCCCCATTTCCAGGTGTGGGAGGGGAGGGTCTTTCTTATCCCTGGTGCTCCCCACAACTCCCTGACAGGAGGGGGGAGCCAAGGGGGGGTCGGGCTCTGCTCCCAGGGAACAACAGGACAAGGGGAAATGGCCTCAAGCTGTGCCAGGGGAGGGTCAGGCTGGACCCAGGCTGAATCCAGGAGGGATTTCTCCATGGAAAGGGTGCTCAGGCACTGGAAGGGGCTGCCCAGGGAGGTTTGGAGTCCCCACCCCTGGAGGTGTCCGAGGAAGGACTGGACGTGGCACTCAGTGCTCCGTGCTGGGGGACAAGGTGGGGATGGGGTAGAGGGTGGACTCGATGATTTTGAAGGTCTTTTCCAACCTCAGCAATCCTGGGATCTCCCAGCTGCTGTGGTGGGACCTTCACAGCCCCCAGCACGACCTCCCAAAAGGGGCAGCTCCTGCAGGCTCTGGGAGGGCTCTGGGAGGGCTCTGGGAGGGCTCTGGGAGCACAAACGTGGCCCAGACCTGGCAGCCGTCCCGGGGCCACGCTGAGTCAGCTGAGCCCGCCTGTCCCTGCGAGAAATCCGGCAATCCCTGGGAGAAACAACCCCCCCTGCACCGGCCAGGGCAGCCCGAGGGGGGGTTGGCCGGGGTGGGTCGGGGGGGACACACGTGTTTGGGACAGACAGAGCTCCCAAAGGCAGAACTGGAGCACAGAGAGGGCCTGAGAACCCAACTCCTTCTCCTTTTCCTCCTCCTCCTCCTCCTCCTCCTCCTGCTCCAGGGCTGTCTGTCGTTGTTTCCTTTTATCTCCCCTCGGCAGCTTGAAGAGCTGCTGACTGTGTGTCAGGGCTGTTTGGGGAAGTGTGGGCTAACGAGAGCCAAACCTCAGCTCCTTCCCTCCGCCTTCCTCCCCAAATTCCACCCCTCTCTCCAGAGCCTGCAGACAGGGGTGCAGAGTGGGCTTGGACAGTCCCCACCCCGCTCCTGTGCAGGGCCAGCACCTCGACTGATGATCCCTGTGGGTCCCTTCCAGCTCAGGACATTTGGGATTTGGACCTGGGCACGCTCAAACTGCAAAACTGCCTCGGGAACAAAGTTTGGGAGGGCGGATTCCCAGCCCTTTTTTTGTTTTTTTTTTTCCCCTAAACACCAGGGAGGTTTTTGAGTCCCCTTTGCTGCAGCCCCGCTGTCATTGTCACCTCGGGGAAAAGGCAGGGATGGTTCAAAACCATCCCAGCGTCCAGACAGGATTGAGGGAGGCCAGCCCTGCACCCCAGGGGAGGTGCAGTGGTGCAGCTCCAGGAATAGGAGCTGCCCAGGGGCTGCTTTCCCTTCCTCCTCCCCCAGTTCCCAGGAGATCACCCAGCAGGGCTTAGCTCAGGAATGGAAAGCAGCTGCCTCCTGGCCCGGGTGCAGAGAAAGGGAACCCTGGCTGAGCCTGTTCCCGTTGGATCAGCTCAGGGAACAGCAAGGTCAGGCACACACACAGAGGGGATCAAGGTCGTTTAAAGACACAACAGAGCTGAGAGGGATTTCTTTTCCTTAGGAAACCAGACCCTCCCTATGGAGCATCTTGGCTGCTGGGTGTCTCCAGCACAACCTGGGCATCCACCTTTTCCTGGGACCACTGTTACTTCTGCTACCAAGCTGCAGGAGCTCTTTTTGAGACACACAGGCCACTGCTGGAAGTCTGTGCAGCAATTAAAAGTTAAAAAAACCAAAACAAAACAAACCAGCAGAGCCAGACTGGAGCTCAGTAATTCTTTACACATCCCAAAAAACATGTCCTGGAGTAATTAGAACCAGAGACGTGGAGGCACAAGAACATTTCAGAATGCTCTGTGACTCCAGCATGTTCAGTCTCTGCTCCAGGATCCACAGCACAGATCACTGGGAGAAGTCCCCAAGATCTGCTGCTGTTTTCTCCCTGCCCTTGCCAGGGCTCCAGGAGCACAACCAGGGCTGCAGGAGCACAACTAGGGCTCCAGAAACACAACCAGGGCTGCAGGAGCACAACCAGGGCTCCAGGAGCACAACCAGGGCTCCAGGAGCACAGTCAGAGCTCCAGGAACACAACCAGGGCTCCAGGAGCACAACCAGGGCTGCAGGAGCACAACCAGGGCTGCAGGAGCACAACCAGGGCTGCAGGAGCACAGTCAGAGCTCCAGGAACACAACCAGGGCTCCAGGAACACAACCAGGGCTGCAGGAGCACAACCAGGGCTGCAGGAGCACAACCAGGGCTGCAGGAGCAGCCTCTGGGCCAAGGGCAGCTCGAGCTGCCTGTGCAGCAGAGCTCAGTGGAGGACAGTGCAGGTAAGAGGGGAGAATTAATGTGGCAGGGGGGTAAATTAGAAGCCAGTTAAGTTGCATCTCCCTGCATTTATATTTTACAGTCCTCTCAGCACCCCCTTGTAGTTATAATTCACGATACCCACAGAGGCTCAGAAATGTGAACGTGTGTCCACCGAAGGCTCAGTTGGGTGTCCCTAAATTCACTTCCCTCAGGATTGGGTGATATTCCCAACTGCCCCTTTCAGAGGGGAAGTGCCAGTGGGTGCAGATGAATCCATGGAGAACTCACCCAGAGCACAGTGTCACCAAGAAATCTCATATACGGAGGAAGGAAAGCAGAACCCCTGCTTTAAACCCGAGTTAACTGAGATCAGCTGCCTGGGTGTGAGCTGAGGGGTGATGTGCTTCCAACCTCTGCAGTGTCCAGAGTTATGGAAATGCTGCTGGGAGCTGCTCAGTGTCCCTGTGTGACCAACACACGGGCAAAGCCACACTTTTATTCCCGAGTGGAATTTTGGATGGAAATGTCATCTCTGGCTTAACAGCAGTCCTGCTTCTCCACCACTATAATCACACAGCAGACCCAGATGGTGCATCCCATTTCCACGGGAGCTGGAAAGCCCCTAAAGAAATCCCTGTGCCTGCAGGAGATCCAAGGAGGATTCACCCACAAACTCCAGTTTAAAGCTCTGCTTCCCAGCTCTGGGCTCGTTAAACCCTTCCCTGGCAGTTCCAGAAGTTTTACAGCAACTTTGCAGAGATCACAGGAGAAGTGGCAGGGAAACAGGGACACTGTGATTTAACCTGGATCAGCACATGCTCTGCCAGCTTCAAAGGATTTCTGCCAGACTCACACGACTGTCACTTCTGATTCCTCACTCCTGCCTCTCCTGCTCCTTAAATCAGCCTTTGACTGTTCAATCGTTTCATCCGGGGGGGGGATAAAATGCCAAGAGGAAAATCGACGAAAGGAAAACAAAGTCCCCAAGAATGGATTGGGGAGGGAACCATCGGGCAGGATTCCTCCAGACCCGCCGGGCTTTCAAGGGGCCCCGGAGACTTTATTGCACAAGGAACTCACAACATGTCAGGTCCTAAAAGTTCCGTGGCCGAGACTCACAACTAGGACATAAATTAAATACCAGACTAAGCTCCTATTTCCACGCCAAAATCCGCTGCCACATCCATCCGTGCGGCGTTATTTCGCTCTTGGAAAATCTGAGGGGAGGGATCGTGAACTGGATCCCCGGGGACTTTCCAGCGGCTCTTTATCCGGCTGGAAACGCAAGCAGGACCCGTGTCACCGAGTGCCAAAGTCACAACGGCCAAACGAAACCCCTCATTTTGAACTTCTGGGAAAGTTTGCGGCCGCACGACCCGGGCTCCAGCCCTCCCAGTTTGGATTCCACGCACAGCGCAGGGATCGGCGGAGCCTCCCCTTCCACGCGAGTTCATTTAAAAGAAGTTGCGGCGACTCGCGAACCAACCCCCCCCCCTCCCTCCCCTCCGCTTTTCTAACCCCTAAAATAAAAAGGGCTAAACTTTAAAACCCCCGCAGCGCGAGGGGGGGGGGGGGGGGAGGGAGGGGAAAAATAATTAAAAAAAAAAAAAAAAGCCATTTAAACCTCCGATTTCTCTCGTCGCTGCCTTAAAAAGCAGCTCAGCGGCCATGGCCACCGAAAAAGCAAAGCCCAGAAGAAGGAACGGCCGCTCTCACCCCATCCCTGGCGGGCGCCGCGTCTCTCCCGTCCTCCCTCCTCCCGCGGGGTCTCTTCTCTCTCTCTCCGCGCTTGGATTTCTTTTCTCCCTTCCTCTTTCTCCTTTCTTCTCTCTCTCTCTCTGTGTGTGTGTGCCTTTTCTCCGGATCCGGATGCTCTTTAAATTTCCTGCGGAATCTCGCCGCGGGCGGGGGGCCCGTGCGGGGCAGGGGCGGGCAGGGCCGGCGGGACCCCCGCGCACCCCGGCGCTGCCCCGGCGCTTCTCCCACGATCCCCGCTCGCCTCCAGCATGGGAGGGAGGGAGGGAGGGCTGAGCTGGTGCCTCGCCGAGCCCTTGGCAGGCGAAGCGTCTCCCCGCGAGTCGCGCGTGTGTGGGCGCAGCCCCGGAGCTTTTCTTTGTTCTCTCTCGCCGCTGCCGCCCCTACGCGCTCCCTCCCCGCGCCCGCTGCCCCATCCCGCCCGCGATCCCTCCGGCTCCTTCTCCCGACTTTATTCCCGGGGCCGGCTCGGCTGCACCACCTGCCGGGCACGGCGGGGCTCGGGGGGCTCCACTCCACCCACTGCCAGGGGGGTCGGATGGGATGTGGGGCGTCGGGAAGGGATTCCTCCCTGGCACGGGTTGCCCAGAGCAGCTGTGGCTGCCCCTGGATCCCTGGAAGCGTCCGAGGCCAGGTTGGAGCAAGCCGGGATACTGGAAGGTGTCCATGCCCACGGCAGGGGGGGGTGGGGTGAGATGATCTTTAAGGTCTTTCCAGCCCGAGCCATCCCGGGATTCTGGGATTCTACAAACCCTGTTCTTTAGTCTTAGTCTGGACTCTTCCTTCATGGATATCACAGATTTCAGGGATATCACAGATTTCAGGGATATCATAAATATCAGGGATATCTCAGATATCAGGGATATCACAGATTTCAGGGATATCACAGATTTCAGGGATATCATAAATATCAGGGATATCATAAATATCAGGGATATCACAGATTTCAGGGATATCACAGATTTCAGGGATATCACAGATATCAGGGCTCTTTGTTGTTCCATCCCTGATGAAGCCATTTGTACCAGTGGAAAATTGGTAGAAACCACGAACACTTTGTTAGGAAACGGGAAAATGCCTCGGGAAAAGGGAGGCTGCAAGGGCTGGGAAGGGGAGGGGATCGTTGGCCATCAGCCCCACACGGGGTGTCCCTGTGGCCAGAGGAGCTGATGTCACCCTTGGCTGCCCTCACTGGGCAGGAGTGAACCCTCTGCCTCCCTGGAACCGTCCAATCCCTGGAATCCTCTGTCCCCTGGAACCCTCTTCCCTCCAAGCCCCTCTAACCTCTGGAACCCTCTAACCCCTAGAATCCTCTTTCTCTTGGGATCCTCTGTCCCCCAAAACCTCTGTCCCCTGGAATCCTCTGCCCCCTGGAATCCCCTGCCCCCTGGAATCCCCTGCCCCCCAGAAGTCTCTACCTCTGGAACTCTCTAACCCCCGAAATCCTCTGCCCCCTGGGACACTCTGCCCCCCAGAATCCTTCCCTCAGGCCCTGTGCCCACGCCTCCAGGATGCCAAGCCCCTGGATAGGGCTCAGGGAAGAGCCAGGAGAGAGAACAACACCCACTTTGCACTGAAGGAACAAAAGTGCTTCGTGTGTCCATCAAAGGACACGGCGGGACCGGATCATAACCATAAAGTCTTGGGGTGGAAAGGAATTGGATCCAAGATGCCCTTGGCTGAGCCAAGGGCTGGGAACAGAGGCTGAACAGGTCAGGCCAGGGATAAAGACACATTTTTGGTCAAGAGGTTGGAGCTGCACCCATGGCCTGACCTCTTGGGGACAACGGGCAGGCAGGCCAGGAATGGGTCTTGCCATTCCATAGGGATTTGTTTGCCCAGGGAGGTTTGGAGTGCCCGTCCCTGGAGGTGTCTGAGGAAGGCCTGGCCGTGGCACTCAGTGCTCTGGGCTGGGGGACAAGGTGGGCATCGGGCACGGGGGGGGGCCTTTTCCAACCTCAGTGTTTCCACGTCACTTTAACGGGAAATCTTCCCAAGAGAGATTTTGTTAATCCCGGATAATTCCGCCCATTAATTTCTCTCTGGGTTCAGATCTTCAGAACTCGCAGCAAAATGGTAATTTCCCAACCCGTGGTGGGAGCAGCATTCCTAATCCAGCAGCATTCCTAATCCAGCAACATTCCTACCAGAATTCCATCCTGGCAGCGGGAACATGAGGGAAAACAGGAAAACACCCCTGCGCTCACTCTGCTCGTGGCCTCTCACCTCCCACGTGCTCTGTGCTGTCCTGGAAGGGAGATTCCCCGAGCCAGGTGTGATTCCCTGTCCTGGGTGTCCCCCCCACCGTCCCTGTCCCCGTGTTTGGGGTCACTGAGGAGCATCCTGAGCTCTGCTGGGAGCCAGGACAGCAGATGCCAGCGCAGAGGATTGTTGGCACCGGGAGAACCGGACCGAGGGGGAAGCCACGGGAGAGGGTGGCAAGGTCCTGGCAGGGTGGAGGTGGGTGGCTGTGCCGAGCTGGCAGCAAACCAGCAGCTCAGGGGCCACCTTGGCTCTGGGGCCAGCAGCCCTCCCGTGCCCCCGTGTCCTCCCGCTGTCCTTCCAGGCCACCAATGACAAAAATAAAGGACTCCAGCTGCACCAAAACCCCGCTGGAAGTAGGGCACGGCATCCTTCCCATCGACCTGCTCCTCTCCCACTCCTCCTGGAAGCTAATTAGCCTGCGCTCAGAAATTGGGGTAATTAGATCAGTGGGAGCCGAGCTCGACCCCGGGGCTGGGGGGCCTGGGGAGGGTTTTCTGAGGTGGGGTTTTGGGTTTTGAGTGTCCCCAGAGAGGGTGATGGCTAAAGAAAAGGCAGGGAGAAAACAAAAACTGCCAGGCAATTCAGTTTTAGAGGTGAGATAAGGAAAGGGTTTTAATTCCTGCCTCTGAGGCGTGAGATTGATTACAAGACTCACCCCCCGGCCCTGTACAGGGGTTACAATTTATGGTATTCTCTGTCCAATCCCAGGTGCTTCCACCCCGTGGCTTTTGCCCTGGTCCACCCCCGGCCTGGAGGTCTTTTCCAACCTAAATAATTCCGTGATTCTGTGACTTTTGTAAAGAACCTTCATTCATTTATGTTTTAAGGGAGAAAAAAAAAACCTGAATAGGGTTTTTTTGGTTTTCTGGTCTCCCTTCCCATCCAGGGATCTCCATCACACACATCACCCTCACTCCCAAACATTCCTGCTCACCTTGGAAGCAGGGACAGAATTCCACATGGGAGAACCCATTCCCAAGCAGGTTTTCTCCTCCCACAGCCCTGTGAAAACAAGAGAAAAAGGAGCTGTCTGTGTCCAGAAGGGGTTTATCCACATCTGGCCAGGAGACAGAGCGAGGCAGCACAGCCTGCTGTGCAGGGGTTTTCATGATCAAGAATTCCTGGTGTTTTCCCAACAAGAAAAGGGAATATTTGCTTGAAAATTGGGAAAAGAGCGTCTTGGGAAAAAACTGCTCGACTTTCAACAGCCTTTAACAGAGGGAGCTGCAACATCTGAGTTCTGGCCACGCCTCAGGAATAAATCCCAAGCAAGGACACAGTTTTTTAAGTTGATTCCTGACAGCTCTGGACCCTGCAAAGGCCACCAAAAAAAAACATATCAGGAAAAGAAGTGTGGGAGAAGTGTTTTGAAAGTCGAAACGAAGGGAAAAGGAGGAGAAAACAGGGGAAGGGAAAATACAGGGGGATGACTCAGGAGCTTCCACCAAAGCAGCAGATCTGACACCAATCGTGCCCCGGCCGGTGACAGGTAATTTAACCTCCCCTGTAAAACGAGGAGAGCAGCAGCCCCGGGGGGCAGGGGGGGGCTTAATTAGTTGCTATTCGTAGATTAAGCAGCGAGTCTGAAGGTGAAAGCACTAAGTGCGAAGTATTCTTAGCTCCTGGAGGATTAATTTCCCTAATTGGGCAACCCCGGCGTTGCATGAAAGTGGATCAGTGCCCGGTTTGGAATCCTGAGGTTCGTTCTGGTGGTTCTGTCCCGTGGGAAAGGGGACCCGGGGAAGGGATTTTTGCTTTTAAAAGCAGGGAGTGGTGATGAATCTGTGGTTGTGTCCCGTGGAAAAGGGGGACCCGGGGAAGGGAGTTTTGCTTTTAAAAGCAGGGAGTGGTAAGGAGTCTGTGGGATGCTCAGTGCAGCTCCCGTTCAGAGCCTGTGACTCCCACCCGAACCGACACACACGGGGTTGATTTGGGAGCACAAAATGTGTTTTATTTGGGTGGCTGATTCCTCACCCTGCCCGCCCCCTCCGAGGCCGGGGCTGCATTCCCAAACCTGCTGTTCCCGTGGTTTTTCCAGCTGCTCTCTGTGCCCTTTCAGACCCTTTTAGAAGTTCCAAACCAGCAAGGAAAAGAGCAGAAGAGCAAACCCAGCCTCAGGTCAAGACCCTCCCTGTCCGCAGGGGCTGAAAATCCTCATCTCCCACTTCATTATCCCGAATTTCTGTGGCAATAGCATCCAGTTCTGCTCCCTTTTCCCAGGCAGAGCGGGCCCCTGGGATGAGGAATTCCTTCCCTTCGGATTTCTCTGCTGAGGGGCGACCACAAAATTCAGCTGCCCCCGTGGTCACCTCGAATATTGCTGTTCCTGCAGCAGGGGGGGGATATTTTAGAGCCCTTGGCTGGAATTCTGCTCCTGTTGATCATCCCACCTGTGCCAGAGGAGCAGAGCTCAGGTGAACGTTGTTTTCCAAGGGCAAAGGGACATTTCCTCACGCTGTTTTCTGAAATTATTCCGATTTTTGGTTCAAGTGTATCTCTGAACTTGTTTAAACAGGGCAGAACATTTTAGCCTGGGAGTTCCTGTGGAAGTGAGATCCATCCAGGAGCCGTTCCTGGGCGGGGGGAATTTCTGAAATTCTTCAAAGCAATTCTTATTTTCCTTTCAATGAGACACAAGCAACGCTTTATTTTTTATTTTTTTTTTTTTTTTTCCAGAGGGGAAAAAAAAAAAAAAAAAAAAGACCTCAAACAATCCCTGAATTTGCAAATATTATTTATATCAACTCTCCTTTGATATGGAAAGTTTCTAAAGGGAGCCTTTTAATGCCCAACAAGCCAAACACACTTAATCTAACTGGGGCTGAAAATTATTGAAGGTAACTTCTGAGTGCAAAACTTCAAACAAAGCTGAAGAATCCTTTTAGTTTGGATTTGGTTTTTTTTTTTTTTTTTGAAGTCTCAGGGAAAAAAACCTGTGGAACAAAAGACATAAAAATGCAGGGTGTATTTTCCTAAAATTAAAACATCACCTGATCCCAGAAACAGGCCCCGGGGCATCTGTTAATTGAGTGACTGTGCCACGATCCTGGCGTGGTTTGAACCTCCCTCCAGCCTCCTCCCGACTGGATTTATGGAATTATCCGTTAGGGGGGGATCTCTAACAAACTGCACAGCTTCAGGACTGAGATCTGGCTGTTAAAGGGATTCACAAAACTTTGAATGTTGTTTGGTACAATTAAGGGTTTTCCCGGTGGGAGGGTTTTCCCAACAAGGGGGGCCCCTCAGACCAACCCCCCCAGCACGGGAACACAGGGAATGGACAGGGAAGCCAGGGGATGGACAGGGAATACAGGGAATGGACAGGGAAACCAGGGAATACTCATGGAACACAAGGGATGGACAGGGAACACAGGGGATGGACATGGAATACAGGGGATGGACAGGGAACACAGGGGATGGACAGGGACCCTGGGGGATGGACAGGGAATACAGGGAATACTCATGGAACACAGGGGATGGACAGGGAACACAGGGAATACTCATGGAACACAGGGAATGGACATGGAACACAGGGAATGGACATGGAACACAGGGAATGGACATGGAACACAGGGGATGGACAGGGAACACAGGGAATGGACAGGGAACCCCAGGAATGGAGCTGGTCCCCCCGGCACAGTCCCAGTCCCCAAGGGACAAATCCAGGTACAAGGAACAGTCCCAGTCCCCAAGGAACAAATCCAGGTACAAGGAACAGTCCCAGTCCCCAAGGAACAAATCCAGGTACAAGGAACAGTCCCAGTCCCCAAGGAACAAATCCAGGTACAAGGAACAGTCCCAGTCCCCAAGGAACAAATCCAGGTACAAGGAACAGTCCCAGTCCCCAAGGAACAAATCCAGGTACAAGGAACAGTCCCAGTCCCCAAGGAACAAATCCAGGTACAAGGAACAGTCCCAGTCCCCAAGGCACAGATGGAGAGAGACCCTGGAAAGGGCCTGGAGGGCCAGGACAAGGGGGAAGAGCTTCCCACTGCCAGAGGGCAGGGTCAGATGGGATAGATGGGATATTGGGAAGGAATTCCTTCCCTGGGAGGGTGGGGAGGGGCTGGGATGGAATTCCCCGAGCAGCTGTGGCTGCTCCATCCCTGGGAGTGTCCCAGGCCAGGCTGGAGCACCCCGGGGCAGTGGGAGCTGTCCCGGCAGGGGGTGGGGACTCCATGATCTTCAAGGTCCTTCCCAACCCAATCCCGGGATTCTCTGAGGCTGAAGAGGACACGGAGCGTGCAGGGATTTCTCAAACAGCAGAACTTTATTGCCCACAGACAATGCAAACAGTTTCCACACTTGCTGCACTTCCAGCAAGTCTCCTATTTAACAAGGTTCACAAAAAAAAAAAAAAAAAACCAACCAAAAACTCTTTATTTCAGAAGGACCCCTGTTGTTCTTTGAGCATATTCTCATTTCAGGTGTTTATTATTGCTCAAATCTACAGTCTGGTTGTGATTGGCCACTCAGTCACGAGATATGCACAATTAAAGGTGATGCAGGACTCCCAGGCATTCATTTTTTAATTAGAAAACAGACCCGTTGTAGGATAGAAAACAACCCAAAAGGATAATATTTTGAATTTCTGAGTCCAGGCTTTCTTTGGGCACAGCTGGCTTTCAAGCAGAATGGGATATCAATAGAAAAAAAACCCCAAACCACTGTACACTGATTTGGAGAAAAAAACCCATCTCAGCACAGACTGGGTGTTCACACTAAGGATTGTTCTAAAAAAAAAAGAAAAACAAACCAAAAATAAATAGGAAAAATGTCGTTGGATCACCCCAAAGACAAAAAAAAAAAAATAAACCCATCTCCATGAGTCCAACACAATTAGTCCAAACACTGAATTACTGACTGTAGTTTTAAGGGCACCTCCCCCAAAATGGGGATCTCCTCACTTCTCTCCAACGAGAGCAAATGTCCTTTTCTTCTAGACCAGGTCCTTAAATATCCTACATTTTTTCGAAGGCAAAGGAGGACAAAGGTGTAGCCAGGGCTTGGCTCTGTAAAGCTTTTCCTGGCTGGCAGTGCCAAACAAGGGCCAGGAGACCCTGGAGAGAAGGAGGGTTAAATTCCAGGTCACTGCAGGTTCCCCCCCTCCCCTCCTGCCTTATAAAAAAAAAAAAAGGAATTCGGATTTCAAGGCAACAGTAAAAACCACAGAGGTATGGAAAGAGAAAGCTTGCTGCTGTTTTCAAGTCAGCACAGCAAGGAAATCAGAGAGACAGTTAATTCCTGGGAAATTGGGATACACAGGGGAAACTCTGGCATTCCAGCTGTGGACAGTAACGCTGTGGGGGTGGATTTGATGCACCAAAAGTTAACTAAGAAGTGATTTAGTGGGTTTCTCAAGGTTAAAGAGACATTTAGCAGCACAGAACAGAGGGAGCTTCCCTCCCTCAGACACTCCCAAAATCCTGCTTCACACTTTGCTAAGGACACGACCCCAAACCCCACTGGTTAGTGCCAAAAGGATGCATATCTCTTCCAAATGGCCAAACTCACAAGCAAAAAAAAACATTTAAAACCAGAAGGTCGTTTAGTTCTACATTTATTGCAGCTATTCAAAGGGTTAACAATGCTAACAGGGTTTGTTTTTTTTGTTGTTTTTTTTTTTTTTACTTACACTACAGGGAAATGCATTGCCACTGGCTTAGCACTGCTGCATCTGCACGGGACAGAAACGAGCAAATTCTCTACGGGATTAATGGCAAAACCCAACCAAAAGACAGCAGACACACCACTGAAGTTAGTTAAAATGTTCACTGAAGCTTGCAGTCTTCATGGAAGAGAGCCTGGAACTAAAATAACAGAAAAAGAAGCTTGTAAAAACCTCCAGCAAAGGCAAAGTGTCTGCATCACAAACGTTTCACATGTACAACTTCTCAGAGCTGCCTGCAAAAGGCGGGTCAGAACCAAAAGGGGGGGGTTCCTCGTGCAAAAGGAGGAGTGTGGAAGGTCAGCTCTTGGTAAAAAACAAGACCAAGTGGCAAAGGGTGAACCCAAGGTGGGAGCAATGCTGGAATTTCAGCACCAGAGCCGAGAGCAGCTCCCAAACTCAGGGTTGGCACAAGACAGGCCACGCTCCGGCTCAGGAGCGTCCCAATATTCACCTTTACTCTCAAGGCAGCTTTAAACTCTTAAGCTGAACTCTCAGGGAAGGACAGCACCACTTCCCAGCCCGGATTCCAAGGGTTCTCCCAGCCTGAGGGGAGCAGGAGCCCAGCAGAGGCACCCCCAGGAGGGCTGTGCCCCTTTAACTGGGGTTAAACCAGAGCAGCTCCGAGGGCTGGGCTGGGGCTGAGAGCTGGATTTCACTCCAGCCTGCAATTCCACCCTGGCAGCAATGGGACATGGAATCAAGGATCCTTCTTCCAAAGCAGGAAATGGGAAAGAAGAGGTTGAACTGGAATTGTGCAGGGAAATAAAAAATCAGGGGCAGCAACGCGCTGGCAGCTTCACCCCTGGGCTAAGAGGAAAGCTAAACCCTCTGGAGTGGGTCTGAGGGATAAATCAGAGGCCAGCAGTGCTGGTTCCAGTTATTCCAAGCCAGACTGGGACTGGGAGATCTTGCTGGAAGGCTCAAGCTTTACACTGGTTAGGCCCAGGAAAGAAAGGGAGGGGGGCAGTGAAAACCACACCCAAACAGGAGTTAAAACAGCTCAAACTGCCAAATAACTGGGACTGAGGATTTTCCAAGCAGCCTGTGGTCCAAGAAATGTCTGGGCTCTCAAAAGGTCCTTAAATCTGACGACCAGATAAACTTGTTTGTATTCAGGGCCTTTGTGCTTCAGCTTCTTGCACTGTAGGAGGTGAAGACACACGGAAAAAAAACTCCACGCCCGTGGAAAAACGGAGCCAGCAGTGGGTTCCTCTGTGGGGTTACTGGGTGATTTTGTGCTTCAGGGCAACCAAAACTGAGTGAGCAGAAAACTGCACAACGCCATGATCTCGTTCCTTTTGGTTTCAAAGTCAGTAAAGGAAAAAAAAAAACAAACAAAAGAAATCAACTTGCATTGATAAACTACCAGGTAAGGAAAACTTGCTGCTGGGGGGACTGGAGATGGAGACATTCCCCCTTCAACCACTTTTTGGTGGAGGAAGAGCAAAATGAGGCTCTTTGAACAGCAAAGAACACAAATCTTGCAGATCTGCCAGGAACTGGAGCTGCTGCCACGTCCCTGTGGGTGCTCTGCAAGGATGGGAACAGCAGAACGTGCTGCTGGTCAGCCCAGGAGCAGCTCTTTAAGGAAGTGGGAGCAGGTCTGGGTGCTGTGAACACTCAGGTGAACCCCTGGGGCTGGTTTTAGACAGGTCAGGATGGAGGATGCACTAGAAAGTGCCATGTTCAATTCTGTCCCTCTCAGAAATAGCCTCAGTGATGTGCAAGCCAGGAAAAGATGAGTGATCAGACCTTGGAGGGTTGTTTTGGTAACACTTGTTAAATCTTCCACCTCTTCAGAGCTGCTTCACCAAGCAGGTAACACTCTCTGTTCATTAATCCAGTCTTCTCTTTCAGTAAATTCTGGAATAGTCCCTTAAAAGTATAAAGGTTTTTGTCTTAGGTGTTGAGATTTTTCAGTCAAAGAACTTCTGCAAAGCAGATGTTTGATAGAAATGACTCTCTAAACTGATGGTCTTATAAAGCTGATGATCCACTTCCAAGTGTTTTCTTCAGTGTTTTCTGCAGGCACATGAACCTGCACCCCCCTCATGACTTAAAAAAACTCCTTGGAGAGGGAAAAGAAATGTTTCAAGGATTTCTTGGGGCAGAGCTGCAAATTTGTGTCCAAACAAGAAAGCACACTTAGAACTGTACAGCTTGTTCACTGCAAGGAAAAAAACCTTCCCAGCTGAGCTTTCCCAGGAAGGGTTTGGTGCTGTCAGACTGGGATGGACTCAGCTGCTCACCCTGCACTCAAAGCCTGGACTCTCACCCCAAATAAACACCCAGGGGTGGAGACTCCTCTGAAAACTGGTGCAGGGAGGGGAGGAAACTGCTTTGTGCAGAAGTGGGTTGGAAGGTTGGACCCCTCAACAAAATGCAGGGTCACAGAATCTGAACTGCCTCGCAGAAGATCTGAATTTGAGAAGGGTCTTGCTCTCAGAAAGGGCCAGAACCAAACCAGGCCCAGCGTGGTTCCCACGTCACTTATTCCATTTTTTCTTTTGGTGAGGAATCTCATCACAAAACAGGCAAACTTGGCCAGAGAGAGAGAGGGAGAGAGAGAGAGAGAGAGAGAGAGAGAGAGAGAGAGAGAGAGAGAGAGGTAAAAACAGGCACTTCTGAGCCCAAACCAGCTGTTTCTTCCTCAGAAGATGCCACCCAAGCTGTTAGCTTGCACAACACAAGACTAACTGGAATCTTGGAGGATATTTTAATACATTAGCATTGGAGTCCACTACTTAGAGACCAGAGTGCTCTTCATACTCTGCTGAAGATCTTTCCCACAGCAGCTTTGCATTTCCAGGCACTTTAGAGCCAGCCAGTCTCTTTATGTCAAACCTAGAAAGCAAGATTTTGGGGGGTAATTCAGCAGTTCAAAGCACTTCACTGGAGCTCTGGACTCTCAGGAAATGTTCAAAAAGCACAGCTGACACTCATGGAAACAGCACTGATTTCTTGGGAAGGGAAGGTTTAACCAGCCCTGGGAGGGAATGTTGGCAGTGGCCGTGGCACCTACCTATTTACTTGCTCTTTTCTGCCTGTACATTTGTATCATTCTCTGACGGAAAACATCAAATGCATCTTCTTTATTTTCTTCCCCTGCAACACCCAAGCCCTCCCCTGCAGAGGTAGCACCCCTAGGGAGCAAAATGGAGAGTTAGAACACTCTGAGCCCAGGACAACGTGCAGAAGAAAAAAAGAGAAACAACAGCTTCCAACCCAGACACAACTCAAGGGGAGAGTCATAATTCAAAGGGAGAGTCACAGTTCAAGGGGAGAGTCATAATTCAAGGGGAGAGTCATAATTCAAGGGGAGAGTCATAATTCAAGTCCTAACTCAAGGGGAAAGCCTTTCTGCTTCATTTGGGGCAGAAGGGGAGCAGAGGTCTGGGGGCAGTGATCATCTCAAGCAATCCCCACCTCCCATTTCACGTGCAAACCCCCCCCAGGAGAAAGTGCTCCCATCACAGTGAAGGTGTTTAAATCATCTCACAGGTCAAATTCTTCCATGGATTTTGAACTCCAGCCACGGGGAGATGCTGGAGAGGTGGCAGAAGTGACCTTGGGTTTTTTTAATATTTCAAAAGTGACCCAGGTCAGAGACTCTGAGGAACGAGCAGGAACCACCACAGAGCTCTGGAGAAAAGGAGGTTTGACTGAGGGAATATCATGCTGCTTGTTTAAAATTCCCACCACAGACAGACTCTGCAGCTCCTGCCCTTCCAAGAAATATGAGCCATTAACTCAGCTGTTCATCCCAAACATGCCAAGGGGAGGAGAGAAACCTCAACAACACCAGAGCATCTTCCTGGATGGAGAGGGTGACCCACAGCAGGGCAGAGACAGAAATAACTCAAACCCTTTTTCTCCAGCCTTTGTGTGTGCAGAACTCAGACCTTACAAAGCCAAGATTAACAAAACCTCTGCCCCAGGAAGGATCCTCTGTGCCAGGTCTGTCTCCCAGGTCAGTGAAATTACTGTTATCTATCACAGATAAATTACTTTAGAATAAAAAAAAACTAATCAAAGGCGTGAGATAATTACTCAGAGGAGGGTCTGTCCCACAACAATGTTCTGCCTTTGAGTTGTGCTTCTGGTTTCTCATGTTTTAAATATCCCTTGAACTATGAAACAGGTGTGACAAACCAGCTCTCAGGGCAGGGAACAGCTCAAAAAACTAACAGGAAACCCCACTGAAAATGTCAGGAGCCACCATTTCCACGAGGAGTCACCACGAAATCCAAGTAACTTTTCCAGGAACAGAAATCATGTGGTTTTTCCTCTGCAAATGTGACTTTTCTCTCCAAGCCAGAGACGAGCTTTAAGTTTTCCCAACACAGAAAGAGCCTCAAGTTTGTGCCTTTAACAGCTGCTGTGCCTGAATGCACCAGTTTTAGAGATCCCTGTTATATAATGATTAAGGAAGGCTCTGCTACACAAGAACTGGAGTCTCTCCAACTATTAATCCATCCCTTTTTCCCAGGGAATGAGATCAGACAGCACATGGACTTTTAAAGAGGTCATCAGTGGAGAGCAGTTTTAAAAGGGGAGGAAAGGGTAGAGGCTACAGGTTATCAGATGGGGGAAAAAAATGCATCAAAACAACTGAAAAGAGAAAGGAAAACGTTAAATTGCAGTGGTTTTGTCCTCCCTGAGATTGTCCTTGGCTGGGGAAGTAAAGAGAGGAACACACCATGAAAACCATCAGTCTCAAGAGTTTCTCTCCACACGACAGGTTTTGTAAAATAAACAGAAGTTCTTCCCAAGAGTGACCAGCAACGGCCTCGAGCTGGAAAACCTGTGTTTTCCCCCATTAAAAATTAAAGGTGGCCAGAAACTTGTAGAATGTGCAGGGCTGTCAGAGCAGACACAGTTAATTAGCCCGTGATCAGGTGCAAAATTTGTGCCAGGAGCTACAGAAACAACACGAATTCCTCATGGATTTGGTCCCAACAGGTTTGGGAAGCAAAAACCCCAAGGTTCTCAGAGTGCTGAGCACAAGAGCTACAGGTGGCATGAGCTGCTTCCTCACTGCCTTTTTCCTGCTGAAGGAGGAAATGGGGAAATATATAATTATGGCTGCTGGGAAAAAAGCAAGCAAACCACCAGAAAGAAATCATTTCATAACCCATTTTCAGTGGCCAAGGCACGAGGAGGACACAGAAACCCCTGGAGAAAAGAAGACTTTTGTTAAACCACAGACAGAAAGTTGCTTGTGTGGGTTCAGAGAGAAAGAAATTTATGTGGGTTCAGAGAGAAATAAATATTCTGCTCCTTATTCAGCTGGGGAGTGAAGGAGGGATTATCCATGAGGAGATATTAAGCATAAGGGAATGTTATCCATGAGGAGATATTATCCATCCTCTGGCAGCAGTGGACATTGGAAACAGCAACTTTAAATGACAAAATGAGGATTAAACCCCTAAAATTTCAGGGAAAACACACACTTACCTCGTGGCAGGTGCACTTACCTCCTCCCTCATGCAGTGGAATGAATCAAATAATTAGGGTGACAACAAATGAGCTGCCTAAACCTACAGATGTGTGACGTTCCTAAATCCCATTTATACTCTACGTGCAAGATCCTCGGGATAACGTGTTAAAAATCCCTGACAAAGTCACTGTGAGCATTCCCAGCCTTTCCCAGAGCTGCCAGAGCTCTGGGTTCCCATTACATACACTTTTACAGGCTCTCTGATCCCTTTCCCTCGTGTCCCGAGGCCGTGTCCCTCCTGCCAGCCCATCTTCTGGAGCATCTGGAACCCCACGTTCCTGTGTGTCAGCCTCTTGTGGGAGAACTCCAAATCTTTTGGTTTCTATGGAGAGGAAAGACAACAGAACAACAAAGGTGGGTTGTTATCCAGGGAGATCATTTAAAAAAAAAAAAAACAACCAAACTCAAAATCCACCCCCACCCCGCCACAAACTGGGTGGGTTTGAATTTCTGGATCTGCAGAAATAGCTCCTGAGCAGCATTTCAGCAGCTCCACAGAACAAAAAAATCAAAGTTTTGAACCTTGCCAGTTCAAAAAACATCCATTTTGGGTTCTCAGATTGTTTAATTACGTTATTAAGGTGGCAAACAGCACACCTTTGTATTCTCAAAAGTATTTGGTGCTTTTTAAAAAATAAACACTGGGTGATCTGATGGCTGAATCCCTGTTGCAAACACAGAAGCAGCCAAATAACATCTCACCAATTCTGGAAAAGTGCAACATGCTTTTCAGGCAGCAAAGCACCCATTTCTTTATATTATATTTTTTTTAATAGCAGATGAACACACAGCTATTCAATAGTGCTCCAATCATGGAATGCTTAACTCTGATACAGGTATTTAAAGCCTAAACCCAACAGGGTTTTAGGAGGAGTCACAGCTCTCCTCAGGTTTAGTCCAGACCTCTCCAGGATCAGGTTCTGCAGGTTTTAGTTTGATTTCATGGCAGAGAACATGTTTTTGGGGCTGCCTCTTGTAAGAACAGCTGATTGTCAGGGGGCAGCTGCAAACCAAGTGGGTTCTTTACCTTCTTCTTCTTTGTAACTGGGCAACCCCGAGGTCTGTCATAAGCAATCCTGACAGGCTCGTGCACTGCAAGGCAGAGCAGGGACAAAAATCAGCTGCAGAGAAAAACCTTTGTGGTACAGGACCCCAAAAGTACATCCCAAAAGAACATCTCAACTCTCAACGCCTGGGGCTGAAGTCAGAACCAACGAGAAAGATCAGAATAAAATAGAAAAAAAAAAAGAGAAGACATTAAATATACACTTAGAGAATAAATATATACTTAGAGAATATTTGAGGGATGATGTTTGATACCAACTCTGTACTGCACCATGAGAGAAAACCTGTTACATGGCTTGTTCAGTGTAAGGAACATTTAAAGTGAACGCTGTTTTCGTTCTCGTGCCAAAATTCTTTGGGCCAATAACCACCCACCTAAAATCCAGGAGCTCTGTGCCACTGCCTACAAACTCCCTGTTGGATGAGGCTCACCTTTTGGTTCTTCTATGAGGCAGATCCTTTTAGAGGCAGGGATCATCCCAACCTTCAGGGACTTGCTGCTGATTCGTTTGCGGGGGAAGGGGGTGCCGGGGGCAGCGGCCGGTGCCTGTGTCGACAGATTTGGTACAGCACCATCAGAGGGGCTGGAAAGCTGCATTTCACCTGCTGACATTTCCTCTCCTGCTTTGGAAACCATCTCTTCATCTAGGTTTTCCACACTTCTACCTGCTGGCACGTCCTCCTCGTCTCCCTCCTCTGCTTGCTCCGTTTCTTCCAAAGGCTGGGAAATGTCCTCCTCAAACTCGGCTTCCTCCTCGTTCTCTTCCTCCTCCTCTTCTTCTTCTTCCTCCTCTTCCTCTTCTGAAAGGTCCAAAGTCCTCTCTCCAGCTTTAGCACCCTCCCCAGTGTCAGCTGCTTCAGACACAGCGCTGAAGTTGATGGAGGGACACAACTCATAGACCTTCATCCGGTAAAATTTGAAAGCAGAACTGTTCTGATCCTGTAGAAACCTGAGCAAAAAAAAAAACCAAAACCAAAACCCAGTCAAAACAGCATCAGAAAAAGATCTTCTTTTAGCTGGTGTGAGAAGCAAGGCATTAGAAATAAATCTCTGGTTGATTTTGGAGAGGTCATTTCAGGGTTCCCTGACAACAGGCACCACAAACAGCAACCACTCCCCTCAATTCTGATGTTCAGCAGCACTTCCCAAACCGTGCTGGGAAGAATTCAGTGGGATTCTCTTAAAAACGGATTGGCAGGGCACTGTTTCAAGATTCAAGCTGATTATTTAGTTTACAAAAGGAAGAAATGTGCTTTTTGGAGAAGCAGTTTTCCTTTCTCGGGTTATTTCGGATATTCACCATGAACGGAGGTGCTGAAGACAACAGGGAGTATTTGCCCCAAATCCTCTGTTCCTAAACACACCGGATAAAAACAGACATCTCAGCAAACAGTGAAAGGGAGGAGGAGCATTTGGAGGTTTCTGCCCAGCCCAAGGACCCAGGGAAAGGTGCAGTTACTCACCAGAGGTCTGGGTTATCTGCACTGTTGTCTATGCTGAACTGCTCGATTTCTGGTCCTACCTGAGCCACAAACTTGGCAAGTTTCTCTGCAGTTTCCATGGTTTTGGCATCCACTGCAAGAAACCAAACGTTCTGTCAGCTCCCCACAAACCCTGCACGGCTGGGAGGTCACAGCACTTGAGAACTACCAACTTCAGCACAAGAAATGATTTTCAGGACGTGCAGCAGAACACACTCGACGCGGTTTCCCCACATCACTGACAATTCCAAAGCCAGTCCCAAATCTGCACTTACCATCAGGAAACTGAGAGGCCAGTGGTGGGAAAAGCTCTGGTGGTGCTGATAAATCCTCGGGATCTGCCCTTTCCTCTGCTGGCAGAGAGGCCTCGGAGCCGGGGCCACGCTGTGGGGACGAGGTGGGGACGAGGGGAGAGTTCTGCTGGGACAGGCTGGATCCTGCCACGGAGACCTGGGCTGGACCTGGAAGATGTTTGTCTTGGTGCCTCAGCACTGTCCCAGCTGAAAGCACAGTCTGTGTCCCTATGGTTGCTCTCCTCACCTTCCTTCCTCGGGTGCCACGCTGGGGGAGCACTCCAGGCCTTTTTCTCTTAAACAGCCTTCTCTTAATACTTGCAATTTTCCTGGCGTAGAGCAGGGCCCGGATGGATTCTGTGGCAGCTTCTTCTGGGGTCCTGCCCTCCCCACCCTCCTCCTTCCTCCTCTGCATCTCTGACAACTTCAGTCTGTAATATTTGTACTCCAGGCTGTCCTCATCAGACAGGAACCTGAAGAAAAATCACAGAAACGAAATGAGAGCTGGGCTGAAAGCATCAGCTCAGCAATCCACCCTTTCTTCCAGGTGTCTACACCAGCCTCAGCAGGTTTTTCTTGGAATAACAGCCAATTCCATGTCTGAAGCAGCAAGGAAAGTGTGCCAAGCAAATAAAGCAAGCAGGGGTTTGACACAAATCATTTGGGTGGTAATTAATCAGCCACGGTGCAGCTCACACGTGAAGAGACGCCGTCACACGAAAAGATCATCACGCCTGGAAGTGTCTCAGCTTTCCTTTTCCAACATTATTCATGGAACACTAAATCCCTAAGCCTGTTACCTTCCTGGGTGTTCACATCAACTGCGTTTATTTGTTCACCTCCCAAATGCAAATCTGCTTCTTAAAGTCTTGCCTTGGGATTGACAAACACATCACAAGGAACGTGAGCTGCTCCCCACAACTGAAGCAGCCAGGGCCATTTCCAGGGATACCAGGATAATTAGCTCGGGAAACATCTTCCAAAAAGTCTGATTAAACACACAATAGGGCTTTGATCTTCCACCCATCGAAAGGCTGAGCCTAATGAAACCTATTCCAAATGTCTGCATCAGAGGGGGGCATTACAACACACGGTTCAAACACACCCACCAGTATTCAGGGCAGTTCTTCTGAGCGCTCCTGTCTTTGGCAGACAAGGTTCCTGACACGATGCTCTTCACCAGCTGCTCAATTGTCTCCACAACTTTCCTGTCAGCTCGTTGTGGGACTGCTGGAAGACATAAAAGACAATTAAATCCCAGGCATTGATTGTTCTCGTCGCCAGAGCATGGATATGTTGGGTTTTTTGTTCTCTGACAGGGCGATATTTGCAATTTTTCAACATGGTTTAATAGAAAGCAGGCTGCACTTAATCCCGGAATGCCAGGATAGGTGGGGTGGGAAGGGACCTCTGGAGGTGCCCCAGCCCAATCCCCCTGCCCAGGCAGGGTCACCTGGCACAGAGGTGGCACAGGGACACATCCAGGTGGGATTGGGATGTCTCCAGAGAGGAGACTCCACACCCTCCCTGGGCAGCTGCTCCAGGCTCTGCCACTTCCATGGAAAGAGGTTCTCCTCACGCTGAGCTGGAACTTGCTGTGTTTTAGTTTCTGGCCATCACTCCTTGTCCTGTCTCTGGGCACCATGAACAGAGTTTGGCCCCATCCCCTGACACCCTCTGGAGACACTTATGGATCGATGGGATCACCCCTCAACCTCCCCTTCTCCAGACTAACCAGGCCCAGTTCCTGCAGTCTCTGCTCATCAGAGAGATGTTCCAGACCCCAAATCATCTTTGTGGCCTCTGCTGGAGCCTCTCAGCAGCTCCTTGTCCTTCTGGAAGTGTGGAGACCAGACCTGAACACAGCACTCCAGATTTGGCCTCACCAGGGCCGAGCAGAGGGGCAGGATCCCCTCCCTGACCTGTGACCACACTCTTCCCAGTGCACCCTTCCAAAACCAGGATAAATTAAGGAAACCTCTAAACTTTAACTGAGATTCTAGACCACGTTATCATAGAAAAGCACCACGGTCTAAGAAACTTATCCTTGGTCACCCCGGGCAAGTTAAGCCCTCCTCAAAAAGGCAATTCCTTATTGCACCAAAAGGATTTTTGTGCAAAATAAGTTTATTTGAACACTTGCCCTGAGAGGGCATGTTCCAAATTATCAGTCAGCCGGTGCCAGCGTTGCAGGACCTCCCTGAGAGAGGATCTGAAGTTCAGTTAGGAAAAAACATACGAGTAGAATAATGAGCAGGAATTTTTTTAGGGAGGAGGAACTTGCTGGTCTAATGCAGTGGAGAGTTAAGTGTTCCTGTAGGTGAGAGGATAGAAACATCTCCAAAAAAAAAAATACACCTGGAGCTGATAAGAGTGGTGATGGTAACAGCTCCAAATCTGCATATATGCAAATACTTACTCTGTAATGAAGCCAGTTCCAGGTTGGTCCTGGCCTCCCCACCTCGAGGTGGTGAGGCTGGAGGGGCAGCCAAGGGCACGAGGTGAAAATCCTGGATTTAAGGTATCAGCACGTGCCAGAGAGGGGAGGGAGGAGACAACAGCATTTCCTCCCTGCCTCGGCTGATTTACAAGGAATTCCCACAATTAGCAATTCCTGACCCGATGAAACCATAAAAAAAGCACCAAGAACTTACATCCTGCAAAGCATCTCAGAGCAGTTCCCTCCCTTTTACCTTTCGTGTCAGGAGAGGGGGTTTTAAGCTGTTCTGTGGCCTCGGGTTCGGGTCTTTTCATCTGGATGGGATACCCGCTCTTCTCCAGCCAGGCCTTCAAGTTCTCAATGTACTCCCTCCCGAACAAAGTGGAGTCGTCGAAGTTCGGGAACAGCGTCGGCGCCGGGGCCATTTCCTGGAGCCCCACGGCCTCGAGGATCTTCTCCTGCCTGAAAACAGACGCCAGGGCAAAGGTCTGGCCCAGGAGAGCCAGGGACTTCCGACACAGAGACACGGTGGTCTCGAAAGCACCGGCCATCTCTCGGGGGTTCCCGAAGCCGCTCGTCTTGATGCTCAACTCGTAGGCGTTGCAGGCCATGAGCAGCGGGGTGACCCCCTTCAGGAGCCGGTCCTGGAGCCTCATGATGTACTTGTCGAAGGGTTTGATGATCTCGAAGAAGCAGTTCTTGGTTTTCACGGCGCCCTTGTCCAGCAGCATGTTCAAAAACTCGTTGTCCACCTTGGGGGTTTTCAGGGCGGCGTGCTGCAAGCTCTTGATGGTGAAGAAGCAGTAATCCCTGTGCTCTGGCCTCAGGGAGCACTTGAAGGAGGCCAGCATTTTGGCACAGGTTTCTGTCTCCAGCTCGAAGAGGGCCCCGAAGAGCCGGGAGAACTCGGCGTCGTTCTTGATGGCGTGGAACCCGGCCCACTTTATGATCTCCACTCCGAACGTGGAAAAAATGTCTGATTTATCCACCAGGTCGAAGTTGAGGTTCCTGAACACGTGGGCAGGCTTTGGGAGCCTGAGGATGGGTCTCTGGGCTGCCAGGGCAGGCCTTTGATTAGGTCGTGGAGGCAGCTTTTGGACGGGCACCGGCCCCTGGTCGGGTTGTTCGGCAGCTTCCAGGGGCTGCTCCAGCGCCTGCGGATCGAGGCCCGGCTGCGGTTTCTTCATGTTCCACTTCTTGAGGGGAGTTTTGACCTCTCCTTTGAACACTTTAGCTTTAACCACACCCCTCGTGAGCCGCTTCCCCCTCAGGATCCTCCCCCTGCCAACAGCCCCCCTCCGGATGGGGGGCCGGAACTCGCTGTCTTGGACCCCGAACTCCACGTCGTACTCCTGGTTCTCCGCGCCGCCGTACTCTTCCTCCATGAGCCCCGGCGACCTGAAGTCCCCCAGGATATCCGAAGGGCTAAAATTGGGTTCGTGTGGCCCGGCAGCTTCCCAAGAGTCAGGAGGGCCATAATCCTGGTCGTGGGAAGCCAGGCCCCCGTAATCCCTCTCGCGGGAAGCCGGGTGTCCGTACTCCCGGTCGCGCGACGCCGGGCGCCCGTACTCCCGATTTTGGGCAGCTGGGTGCCCATACTCCCTGTTTTGGGCAGCTGGGTGCCCATACTCCCTGTTTTGGGCAGCCGGGCGCCCGTACTCCCGCTCGTGAGGCGCGGGGCGGCCGAACTGCCGGTCCCGCAGCGCGGGGCGGCCGAACTGTTCGTGGTAGTAGTTGTCCTTCCGCAGGAGGGGACTCGCAGGCCTGTAGGAAGGGCCTGGATAGTCCTCCCGGGGGTCTTCCCCCCACTCCTCGGGGGGGTGGCGGGGCTGGGGGTTGTCGTGGGGGTACCTCCCGCCGTCGTGGAAGCTCTCGTCGTAGCGCGGCCTCGGGACGGGCCTGGGGTGGGCTGGGGGGAGAAAACACACCAATGCACTGCCAGTAGTGTTGAGAAAAACCATTTAATGAGCGGATCTAGAGGCTTAAAGGAGTCAGGATGCCGAAATGATTGGAGAAAATACACGTGTCTAACTCTAAGATGCTCCCATTTGGTTCCTGATGTACTTAAAGCAGCACAGGTTCTGCTATAAACCCCTTTTTTTTCTCTCGGCACAAGATGCTGGTTTTGTGCTCAAAATGGGGTTTCTCGGGTGGAAAAACATCTGAGTTTTTCCTGAACTTGCTGTTTCACGGGATCACTGAGATTGGAAAAGCCCTCCCAGCCCTCCCAAGTGCAACCTGTGACTGATCCCCACCCTGACACCCAGCCCAGAATTCCCAGGCTGAGTGGAGGAATTCCACAGTTGAACAGAGGCTCATATTTTCTCCAGACTCATACAAAATTATCTAAAGCAGCATTGCAGCAATTCCTAGTATTTCTGACTTTAAAAGTATCCAAAATCCCTATTCCCTAATTCCAGCAGTTCAATGCAGAAAGTAAAGAATACTTGAAAAAAAAAAAAAAGAAAAATGAAGCATTTAATAGAAATTATTTCTCCAGGGCTCACTTTAAAAATAACAGATCTCATTCTGAAACCCTCCTATGAACGTACATTCCCGTCAACGTGATCTGAGTTATTTTTACGGGCATTTTATACATTAAATTTAGGAAGGCAAAAATCATTTGGAGATCACTTTTCCTGTGCGTTCGTGAGGTTTTGGCCCTTCCTCCAAAAAATAACACGGGAGACACAAAGCCCCAAAGGCTCCCGATGAGCTCCTACATTGATTTAACTTATCAGCCATCACCGGAATTCCATCCATCCTGCGGCGACCTCCCTGAAACCGGACCCGCTCCCCTGGACGGAGTTCCTTTGTCTGAAATCCCCCATTTTTTTTTTTTTTTTTTTTCCTCCCCACTTGGGAATTCTCCAGCCAGGGAAAAAAAAAAAAAAAAAAAAAAAAAAAAAAAGGAAAAAAAACCCCCACGAAACCAAATGCCGGCACAGGGGCAGAAGATGGAATAGCAGGGCTGCGCGTCATGGCCTCACCTCTGAAGCGCTGCTGGATCGCCTCCTCGGCGGCATCCCCGCGGTAGCGCTTCACTTTGTCCTGCACCACGGCGCCGAACGACTCGCGGGTGATGCGCCGGGAGGCCATTTTTACACCCTGCGGCCGGGGCGGAGCGGGGGCCCCTCCGCCGCTCCTCAGGGGCACCCCCGCCGGCCCTCCCCTCCCCTCCCCTCCCCTCCCCGCTCGGTGTGCCCCGCCGCGGCCGCGGGAGGAGGAGCCGCCCGCGGAGGAGCCGCCGCGGGGAGCGGGGAGCGCGGAGCCGCAGCCCCGGCCCGGCCCAGCCCAGCCCGCCCTCAGCGAGGCGGCCCCGCCCGCCACACACCGGGGAGGGGAGGGGAGGGGGGGGCGGCTCCGCACTGCGCGTGCGCGGCGCTGCCCGACCCCCCCCCCCCCTCCCCAACCCGAGTTAATTCTCCGGGTGATTTTAGGGCGGAAAGAAAGGTAAAAAAATTTAAAAAAAACCCAAAAAACAAAAAAACCCCACCAAAACCCAGCTGTTTAATAAGGACGGAGGTGGCCGATGCGCGCGCGCGGGGTTTTACAGAGTTATGGTATCGTCTAATTCCATGGCGCAATCTGTAGTATAGTATGTACAATGTTATAGTTAATAATAATAATAATTGTTAACAATAGTTAACAATAATAATAATAATAATAATAATAATAATAACAACAACTATAATATAGATAATTTATAATAAGATTATAGATAATACTATAATATAGTATTATCTAATTCTTATATAGTATAATAATATTATATATTATTATATATTATATCGAAAGCAGTCATATCGAAAGCATTATATTTCGATATATATAATAATATTATATATTATTATATAATATAGTATTATCTAATTCTTATAGCATCATCGATACTATGCTATAGATATAGAATATAATCGATAATATTTTATTATAGATAATAGAATATTATAGATAATAGAATATTATAGATAATATTTTATTATAGGTAATAGAATATTACAGATAATATAATAATTACATAGATAATATAGATAATCTGTATGAGTATAAGGAATACTATAATGTATTATCTAATTCTTGTAGTATCATCTATGCTATAGTACAGATATATAATATTATAGATAATATAATAATAATGATAGTAATAATAGGTAATCTATAATAAGATTACTGGTAATACTATAGTATAGTATTATCTAATTCTTATAGCATCATCTATACTACACTATAGATATATAACATTATAGATAATATTATAGATAATAAAATGATAAGCCTGACCTCGCCCCCTCCCTCCTCTGGCCACGCCCCCTCCGCACACTGGCCACGCCCCCCCGCCGCGCCTGCGCCGCGCGCAGCCACCTCCTCCCCTGCAGGCGGGCGGTGCCGGCGCAGCGCTGGGAGCGCGGGGCGGTATTAACGGTGCGGGCGCGGTGCCGGTAAGCGGAAGAGGGCGCGGGGTGGGGGAGCGGCCCGTGGCCTCCCGTTGTAACGGCGCGGGGCCGGGGCGATCGCTGCCCTGCGGGTGCGCCCCGGCACGCGTGGGAGTGGCGGGGCGCGGGAGCGCGCTGCGCATGCGCGCTGCGCCACCCCGCGCTCTTTTTCGCTCGGGTCGGCGCGAGTTTTGGTCCGTGCGCATGCGCAGAGGAGGGGCGGGGGGCCTGTACGGCGGCCGAGCGGGGCCGTCCCGCCCTCGCCTTTTGTCCGGCGGGAGCGGAGGTGGGTCGTGAGGGGAACCGGGGCTTGGGGTGCGCCCCGGGGCTGCCACAGCGTCAGTCCCCGCTCTCCCGGCCCTCCCCGCCGCTGGAAACGACGGGGTCTGCTGAGGGGGTGCGGGACGGGGCTCGGGGCCGTGTGTGACCGGGCACGGTGCCCTCCGTGTCGCGGTGACACCGCAGCGCATCCCCAGCCCGGCCCTGCTGAAACGCCTCCTCCTTTCTCTTCATCGCCGCGTTTTTCCCCGCGGAATAAAAAACCCGTGCCGGTGTATCCGTGGTACATTCGGCGGTGCGTTTTGGGGGTCGAGTTCTGCGCTTTTGTTTTGAGGGGAAAAGCCGAGTCATTTGCGTCGCTCCCGGTTGGCATTTGGGTGGTTTTGCTCCAAAACTAGTTGTGGGCTCTCTCTCCGCCGCAGGACACGGAGGGGGTTTTATCCCGTTCCGGGGAAAAATGGGGTCCAAGCAGATCACCCAGGAGACTTTTGATGATGCAGTGCAGGAAAACATCACGGAGTTTGAGATGGACCCGGAGGAGGCTGTGAGAGAAGCTGTGCAGCAGTTCGAGTCCCAAGGTACCGTACCTTCGAGGTCTTACAGGCTGTTTTACGTCTCTGAAGGTGTCAGGGAACCTGCACTCAAAGGTGGATCTACCACTGCTGGAAAGGAGCCTTTGTGAAGTGAAACAGAGGCACTATTGATGCTGACCTGGTTTCGTGCAGTAATTATGACTGGAAAACTGCCTTGAAGGGAAACTGGAGGGTGAAATTTGGTCAATGAAATTAAACTCCTATCCCACCCCCCCCATCCTTTGTTCCAGGATGGATTTGACCATCATAGCCAGAATTTAACATTTCAGCATCTCTGTGCATTGATTTTTACAAGTTCATCTTTGTTCACTGTGGTTAGCTTGGCAGGTTATACCCATAACTGTAACTAATGCTGTTTATTTTGCTCTCATTAGCCTGCTACTAATATTAATCTGGGTTTTATTTCCCCTTTCAGGCGTGGACCTGAGCAATATTGTGAAAGCTGTGCGACAGCCTGCCTCTGAGAATGGGCAGAGGCAAAAGCATCAAATCCTGCTGGTAGGAGCACAAATTGCTGTTGTCTCCTAAGAACGTCATAATATAAGTAATAGACCAAGAATTAATGGCATGTACCTTCTAGTTCTGCCCCTGTCCCGTTTCTCTGGGAGCTCTTCAAGAAGTTAATCCATTTATTCTGCAGACTAGGAATAATGTAAAAATTCAAAGAGCTTCTTGAACTTTGCAGGGAAATATCTGTGTGAGTGAGGCTGTACCAGGTGGGGGTCGGGCTCTGCTCCCCGGGAACAAGGGACAGGATGAGAGGAAAGAGCCTCAAGCTGTGCCAGGGGAGGGTCAGGCTGGACATCAGGAGGAATTTCTCCATGGAAAGGGTGCTCAGGCATTGGAAGGGGCTGCCCAGGGAGGTTTGGATGTGGCCCTCAGTGCTCTGGGCTGGGGGCCAAGGTGGGGATGGGGCACAGGGTGGACTCGATGATTTTGGAGGTCTTTTCCAACCTCAGTGATTCTGGGATTCCAAGTACCAAATGCCAGCATTTCCTGCCTGGGGGGTGCAGAAACTGCCTTTCATAACCTAGGAGCAGATTCTGCTGTGGGCAGGTGAACTCAAAACACAGGAAAAACTTCATTTGAAAGAAAGAAAAGTAACCTGGTTGGTAGGTGTGAGCTGGCTCTTCTGAGGGTATTGAAAGGGCTGAATGCAGTCCCTCACCAGCAAGGGTATAAAAATACTCATAAATATAAAAATACTCACCACTGACCCCTGTGAAATCATAAAATCCTGGAAAGGTTTGGGTTGGAAAGAGCTTAAAGCCCATCCAGTTCACTCCCTGCCGTGGGCAGGGACACCTTCCACTAGCCCAGATTGTTCCAGGCTCCATCCAGCCTGGCCTTGGACACTTCCAGGGATGGAATGTGCTGGTTGGACCCAGTTCACCTGCCCCTGGTCAGACTGGTACCCAGTGGTGGTGTGGCAGTGGTGGCAGGAGCACAGAGAAGCCTCCGTTGCACGAAGGCAAAACGCTGCTCTCGAAGGCAGCAAAGTTAGTTTTAAACGAACAAGGTAGTTTTAAACGAACAAATTCGACTGGCCCTATGGAAAATTAACCCTTGGTGTCTTCCCCAGACCCTGGATTCCCTGGGGAGAGCCGTGGCTGACTCAGACCTGGCGGAGCTGCCGGAGCAGCTCGTGAGCTTCTCGGCGCAGTGCAGGGAGCAGTTGGCCTTCCGCTACCTGGCCGGGCAGAACGGCGCCTACCCCGTGGTGTTCTCTGCCTGCCAGCTGGCCTCAGGGGACAGGGATTTGCTGCTCAAAGCCTTCTCCACCCTGTCTGCCCTGCTGGATGGGCAGCCCGACCTGCTGGACGCTGCGGGGCAGGAGCTGCTGCTGCAGAGCCTGCGGGAGCGGCGGGAGGACGCGGAGCTGACGCTGGCGGGGATCCGCTGCGTCAGGAGCGCCTGTCTGAAACACGAGCAGAACAGGCAGGACTTTGTCAAGGGGGGGATCCTGCCCCTGCTCACCGGAGCCATCGTCCAGCACGGGGGCAGTGCCGACGTGGTCAGGACGGCGGCCTCGGCCCTGCGGGTCATGACCTTCGACGACGACATCCGCGTGCCCTTCGGCCACGCCCACGACCACGCCAAGATGATCGTGCTGGAGAACGACGGGCTGAGGGTCCTCATCGAAGCTGCAAAAGGTAAAATTAACACAACCCCCCCCCCCGTGGCTGTTGGTGCTGATTTGGGCACTGGAACGGGCTCTCCCCGGGGCGGTGTCACAGCACCGAGGCTGGCAGAGCTCGGGGAGCATTTGGGTGATACCCTTTGGGCACGAGGTGTGGCCCTTGGGGATGGTCCTGTGCAGGTCCAGGAGTTGGACTCTGATCCTTGTGGGTCCCTTCCAGCTGCATATTCTGTGATTTCTTCTCTTATAAGCCTTTCTTCTCTTAAAACTTCAAATTCTGTTGTGACTTGAAGCCCCTCCCAGGTGATTTCGGAGATTTGCCACTAAAATGGTGTTTAATTCTATTGAGGAAATGGGCCCCAAGGGAGAAAAATAAGTGCCCCCTTGGTGCTGCTGATAACCTCTGGAGCAGACACATTATCAGGGGCTATTTGTCACTGTGTTTAGGGAGTGTTTTACAGCCCAGAGCAGGTTTGCAGGCACATTATCCCTGCTGAGGTGCTTCTTGCCGAGAAAAGATATTCTGCCTCTGTCTAGAAACAGAGTGAGCAGGTGTCATCTCTCCTATTTTAATATATAAAGGGAAATAACACTCTTACACTCTTTCCTGTTGTTTTGGTTTTTTTTTAAATGAATCAAAGTAAACCATCTTAATTCCCTGCTCGTGGTTACTCCCTCCATCATCTCTCCTCTGCAGCGTTCACAGACGACTCTGGGGTTCTCAGTGAGC